AGCGATGCTGGAGGTTTCCGTATCCCTCCAGCAGTTAGCCACCGGCTCGGTAGCTGTGACCATCATCCCCCTGGGAACGGGATACTAAACTCAACAGGGGAAAGCTCCGTCATGGTTGTTGCTCCGTGATCCTATAATATATCCTGTCACGGTGGATTTGGTGCAATACAGTACATAGAACAAGAATTTTTGAATTAACCTGAAGAGAAAAATGTGTGGAGTGCTGCTATCTTTCTGCTTGTTAACATGCCAAATACAGCTTGTCCAGCTTGAAAAGGGGAAAATATGATCCACTTAGAAATGAACTGCTTAGTCAATTCCACCACCGGGCTGTGAAACAATCCCAAAAAGCCTCTTCAGCGTTGCCAGAGTTCAAGGTGGGGTGAGGAATATTTTGCTGGTGGTTCTTTAGGTCATTTGCCTCGAGCCCTCTGTGGTGGGAGTCCTGGTGGGGTTTTGGTTGTATGGTGATATGCCCTGGCTGTGGGATGCTCGCTGGAGGTGGAGGAGGAGGATGGGGGAGCCGTGCACCCACCTAAGCAGTCCCTCGAGAGGCTCCCAAACACTTTGATGTTTGGAAAAGCAGAATCATGGGGAAGCTATTCCAGAAGGAAAAACACAGGTGAAGAGAAATAACCAGATGGAGTGTCCTGAAGCCAGGACCCAGCACCCTGCAAGATGGCATGGGGCCCTGGGCTCCCCCCACCCCACTGAACCTCCCGTGGGCCTTTGCTGCCCAGGAGCAGCCCCCATGCTTTCTGCCACAGCACCTGGAAATTGTCCCTGATGCTGAGGAAGGCACCAGTCAGGTTCTAGGTTAGCTTGAAAATCTTGGGGCGCCATAAGCAGCCCAGGACTACCCCACCACCCTCCACCTTCTCATCCTTCTGTGTCTGAAAAACAAAAAAACTGCATATCCTTCTGCAGTTCTTAAGAGCTGCCTGCGTTAAAAACAAAATAAAACATTTCCAGGCTCAGCCAGAAACAAGTATTGATGTCTAAGTGGAGCAGACATCTGATGGAAATACTGACACACTTAAGCACTTGGAGCTGCAAACCACACAGAAAGTGAATTATTGCTGGGATGAGCCAAGCAGCTACGGAGATGAAGTATCTTATCCTTATAAGTGAATGCATACAAAAGCATTTTAGCATTGCTGGGCCAGCTGCTCCTCATTGTTGAAGGTGCTTCCTGGCTAGTTGCTGCCTTTTTGCTCCTCTGAACAGCTTAAAAATTGCCTCTTTCGCTGTAGCATGTTTGCTACAAGCAGCACTGAGGATGATGCAAGTGGTGATCTCCATCCAAAACATCTCTGGGTGATTCTCAACTCATTACTGCTTTGGCTAAACTAATAAATGGTTGAATTTTAGTCATGTCTTGGGAGCCCACAACCTAGATAGCCTCCTTCTCTCCAAGAATCCATTTAAGTTGCAGATGCATTAATCCCTGCTCTGCTGGCAAGTGGTGGAGTGGGCTCCTGTAACCCCTACATGAGTTAACTCCCTAGTAATTTATACCTATGTCTGCTCTGGATTTTGAAAAGATGCTGTTAATGTCAGTTAGATCCTAAATGGGAGTTTCCTTTGGGAGAGCCAGGGCACGGCAGGCAAACCTTTACAACCTGACTTGTATTAGAAACGCTTCAGGAAAGTTTTAAAGGATGCGTGGGGATAACTGTTTGCCAGCAGTGAGGATTGTTTTCTTAGGACCCAGGACCGAGATCCAGGAGATGTGTGTTCGTAGCCCCAGTAAATGTGAAAACTTGCCTCCCTGCAGTGCTGCTTTGTGGTGGGAAGTTCTTTGACTGCCTGACTCAAAGCTGCGTGTCCAGATGGAAGCAAGCATGTTGGGAGAGCTCGGCGCCTGCTCCCCTCTGCTGTTTTCCTTATGGTTTAGCAATGGGAGATGCAGAATGAAGAAGGTGGTCAAACCCTCACCCAGGTCCCCAGAAGGGCTCAGCCCATCTATGTGAAATCCTTCCAAGCACAGGCTGCACAGGCAACACCTGCCACTTTGTTCATGCAATGTTTTTGGAGATGTAGACTTCTGCGAGCCAATCTGATGGCTGGATTCCTGGCCTCAGGAAGGGCAACTTCATGTCTCCTTCATGTTTTGGTGGGGGAGGAACCGTCCTTGTTGAGAAAGAGTTAGAAACACAACGCACTTGCGGCTAGAAGGTGGGAAAGAGGTTCTGAGCACCCAGTGGGAGTCGTGAGCTCTGGTCACCTGCTCTAAACTCCAGCTGTTCTCAGCATGGAAATGGCATTGTCCCCACTTTCAGATTTATATTGTATTTGAAAGCTATATGAGGAATAATAATAGCAAAATTTCGCTCTCCAAGGTTGCAGATGGGCACAGCACTTAAGCACTTATGTGCACATTTAAGTATTTTGTGGAGGTCTCTGATTTGGGTCCTGTTTATTTTTTAAACCATAAGCATATAAACTGAAATTTGAAAGACTGTTTAAAGAAGTGAGATTAAAACTGTTGGTAGCACTCTCCTTTTAATTCACCACTCCATCGTTCCAGATATTACTCCCAATCAGGAGAAATAAAGTCTGAACTTTGCATTTAACAAGCATCAGGAGTCCGCTGGGGAGACTGAGGGCCGAGATGCCAAAATAAAGTTGTCAGAAACAAGAGATGATGCTTCTTTCCACAGAAGAAGCTTCAGACCCCAGTTGTTCTGCTCTGATTCAAAAGTGAATTTCCTCTTCAATTCAGCGTTTCCTAATTATGTTTTATAAAAAGAATTTGTCACTTTGTCATTAACCCAGGTTTGTTATGGTTTTCAAAAAAGAGTGATTTCCCTTTAAATGGCTAAACAGTACAGTTTGGCTTATGCTTAGTCTAGGCTTGTTCCCGTTTGGTAGATTTATGATATAAAAGCAGAAATATCCAAGTCTTGATCATTTGGCAAACAGCTTGGGTAAAACCGTGTATTTTGTATGGTGTAATTGTGCAGCTGCATGGGGTTTGTTTTCCAGTATATTAAATTAGCAAGAGCTTCCATCAAAGTCAACAAAGATCAGTACCACAGTCCTCCCTGTATACAGGGCTTTTTAATTGGGAACCGAAGTTGGTACCATTTAAAAATTCCTTACAGTCTAGAAGAAGGAATATAAAGACTGAAATCAGAGTTATGACACTTAATTCAGAATACTTCTCAGCTGTGATTTCTCCAAGAAAGTATCCCAGTTGGGAAGAGACCATGGGCAAACACTCAATGTCACAACAGGTGCTGGTCTAATAGGAAGAAGATGCTGAAGCTCTCTTTTCTCTTACTCTTTTTACTAAAAGTATATGCTTTCAGGGAAAACCTTTTCATTAAAAGGAAAAAAACCCACGACCTTAAACCTTTGACTAGATGAATACCACAAAATTCTGGCCAAAACCTAAAATATTTGAGTTGGAATTGCTGCCAGGGTATCACAGGGAAGGTTCTTTGTAACCCCAATGAGTGTGGGCTTTGCCTCCTGTGAGACGATACCTCCCATGAAATACCACATTTTCAGGTCCCCAGGTTTCTTCATTTTTACACTACAGGGCTATTGACTGAAACATTTTTATATTTTTAAATTTCCAGAAGAATAAGAACTTGTGTGATGAGAAAAGCAATACATTTTTCTCTTATAACCTGCTCCAAATTAATGCCAAAAGAGCAGCTTGAAGCCAATGCCACATCCTCAGGTATTCAGAGCTGCTGTAATTGCATCAATTTTATAGTCAAATTGTAATCTATGAATATGCTTAATTAGGATCTCTATCCATATCTGATTACTGTTGGGGATCAACTCAAGATGATCTGGGTTTGGATCATGGGATTAAGTTCAGACCAATCTGTTTTGAATTACTTTCTACTTGTTAATTATATAATCATAGCACCAAAGTGTCTTCACTGTGGAATAGGATCCCGCGCGATACATACTGTACAAAACCAAGAAGGCTCTTGTGCCCGGTGGAGCGTACAGTCTCAGTGCAGGTGTAAGCCAGAAGATAGAGATAAGGCAATGCCAAGTGAAAATGTAGGTTAGCGTAGACAAGGTGGGAAGAATGGCACTCTCACTGTTGATCTAGATGGGTTGAGGGCAGCGGTAGAGGACTAATTTTTTCTTCATTTAACTGGTATAGAGGAGGAATAAACCATTAAATGTTAGGCATGAGTTTATGTCACTAAAATGAGGACCGTCAGATGCAAGAACCACACTTTCAATGTGCCCCATATTTCTCCACGGGGAGACTTAAGAGCTTGAATGTTTCCTTGTGTCCTTATCCTACAGCAAAACAAAATTCTCCAGCCCATGGCAGGGTTCACTGTCATCACTTGTGGAACATACCGCCACAGCTGGTGGATAGACTGAAGAAATAGGTTTTTCGGCTTTCATGCTCCGTCTTTGGTTCTGCACTTTGTTGCACAGAGTTACTCCAGCAACCTAGTGATGGGTTCATTTATTTTAGCTATTCCAGCCTGTCCCTTCTCCCTTGTTTTCTTCAGCCCACGGAGGCTGCCTTTGAACCATCCACAGTCACTTGAGAAATTGAGTTTATTCCCGTTTCTGCTCCTTGTATCCCCCTCCTTGCTGGGTCTTGCAGGGGTTGTGGACTGTCAGGAATAAAGACATTGAGATCCAGAGACTGAACCGTGAACTTAGGAAGAGTACACATGCTTGTTTCTGCCAGATCACCCTGCCATGCAATGTCAGGTGTTGCAATGATGCTGCAAAGAACTCTGTGCTGTTTGTTGTGATGCATGTGATGGGGTGGCTGTGTTCTGGTCACTATAGGGTTGAAAGCATCCTTGTAGATCAGCCGGAGCCCTGAATGTAGTGTGCACATCTGTGTTTGCATTACTACCTGCCTGGAGCAGGCAAGGTTTGGCAAGGAGGAGCTCTGGGCACATGAAGCATCAGTAGGGCAAATACATTTCATTTTTAAATGCTCTTTCATTTTCCAACACCTGCTCTTATTTACTCATTTCCATTTCTTTCTCCTTTTGCAGAATACTTGAAGAGCGAGACCGCCTTTCTGGAAGAGTTGGTGTTTGGAAGTGGAGATACCATTGAACTTTCGTGTAACACCCAAGGCTCTTCTGTGTCTGTTTTCTGGTTTAAAGATGGTATTGGGATTGCACCTACCAACAGAACTCATATTGGACAAAAACTGTTGAAGATAATCAATGTGTCCTATGATGACTCAGGGCTGTACAGTTGCAAGCCAAGGCATTCCAATGAGGTCCTGGGAAACTTTACAGTCAGAGTTACAGGTACGTACAGAAATAGAACTGTCTCAGTGTGCTTTTTTTATTATTTAATTTTAAATTTTTGCACCTTTACATGTTCAGCACAGCTGGTGCTTTGTGGTCTTCATCAGTACTTGGTAGGTCTCTACCTCCCTGGTAACTCCTGGCAGTGATTAGACTGACAAAACAAACCAGTTGAGGAATGCTTGCGTGTCCATACCAAATGTTAAAGCTTGATGTTAATACTGAGAGAGACTTAGAAACAGTGCTAGTCAGATTAAACCCCAAATCCCCCTTAACACTCAAATAGATGCAATGCTACATGTGCCTTTGAAGTCTTTTGTGAGCGAGTGAACTGTGGCTCAGGGAGGTTAAGTGACTTTTTCCACTTTATGTGACAAATCAGTGGCAAAATTGCATGTAAAAGCTGGAGCTTCCTAAACTGTTGTAGCTGATAAATCTCTTCCCTCCATTCCAGTTACTACAAATTACTAGTTTGTTTCGGAAGCAGTTTATCTGTAAACTGTGTGTATCTTGAATATATGCTTCATCAGAGGTCCTTACTGGGATTCATATATTGCAGACAAGTGCTGTGTTAGGAAAGCGCATGCTGTCGTTTGCTTGGCCATATTTTCCATGATTAGGATGGTGGGACAGAACGACTACAAGCTGTCCAAGCCTGCATCACTAAACAGAGGGTGCCAGAAAAATCTGTTGTTCCCAGATAGCTAACCGCTAGCTCTAAGATCATCTCCGTGATTTCAGGCTGCTCATTTTGGTAGATGGATACTCATCACTGTGAGCAGATAGAAAGCCATCTGATCACACAGATTAAAAGCCTGAATTTTCAGAAGAATTAACCCTTTGTGGATCTAAGGTTTTGGTAACTTTCCTTCCTTCTTGCACCGTTGGAGCTTTTTCAGGCATCCCCACACAGTAGGTCCTTGCCTCCAAGAGTTGAGTTCCCTCAAAAAGTAAAGGGGCTCCATTTGAAAACCAAACACAGAGATGTTTGTGATTGTAAATCATTCCATAAAGGGCTTTCTCATGCCAGAAATAGGATTTTGTGTAAGTGAGAGAATCAAACCATCATGAGAATAAAAGCTCGTTTCAGCAAGCCGTCACCAACATCTGCTTTTCATTGAATGTTACTGGAGATTGCTGTGAATGCTTCAAGGTCATATCAATTAAATGGTTAAAGAAGTATTTGGCCCTTGAAAGGCTTTCTTTAACTAGGTACGATTATTGGAACTATCCAAGGAACTGCAGGTTGTTAGAAACATTACTCTCTTTTTTTTTTAAAGTGACATTAAAATGCTTTTGAGTTCAAGGGGCAGCAGGGAGGCAGAAAGGGGCAGCTGGTTACACGCTCAAATGAAACAGCTGCCAGCCCCAAAAGTTCGTAAAGTGAGAAATTGTTTTTAATAGTGGAAGGGCTGATAATCCTCTGCTTTTAAAAAGTTTAAGCCCCTGTGTTTTTCCTCTTCGTTAATAATAGCTAATAACAGCTTAAGAACAAGCGAGTAACCTGAACCTGCTTTCTGACAGCATTATGAGTCTTTGATTCTATTAGCCCACTGTCATTACCACCAAAGTGCTGGTAATGTGGGAGTCTCCGTTTTAGCTGTCAGCAGCACTTGTTTTAAACTTTGAAGCTCTGCTTTATGTGGCAATAGTGGCGCCTCTCATATGCTCAGACATTTCTTCATAATTAGTATTGATTGCTCAGCGTGGCACTGCGGAGATGAGATTGTTATCGGAGATTTGTGGTTTGTGTTCCCACTTCTTAGAGGTAACGCCAGCGATTATATCGGGTATCTGATCGGGTGTTTATATGGATATCTAATGGTCGGGGCTGGAGTTTTTCTCTGCGTTCAACTAGTTTAATTCTCTACTAATAAATTGGGATTGTGCTGATCTGTATTCTTAAGTGAGCAAAACTAGACTAGGTATATTCAGAACAGCTGATATACATGTAAGTCCCGTTTTGAGAGATGCTTCCAGATTCTAAGAGCATATCACGATTTTCCTATGTGGGGCCGTGAGTTTTGGCTCTTCTGGAGCAACTCTCCGTGTGCACAGTGAGATGCTGAAGGCAGAACAAGGAGATGCCCGAGCTGGCATTTCAGGATTGAAAACCAGGTTGATTAATAGCAGGGTTTGATCTCTTTAAAATGCCTCCCATGACAGACATGGGCTTGGGGTGTTTTTCTAGTTTACCAAAAAAAATATACTGTCCTCTTAAAACCTGAGCACTTGAAGAGGATCACAAATAGCGGCTGCGTGCCCAAACTGCTCTCCAGCCCTGTTGGCAGAAGCTCCATTTCTGCAACCATTTCACGCACAGAACAGCCTTTGGATTTAATGGCCAAGCAGCACCCCTGGGATGAGCACGGACTGCAGGCTGGTACCAGCAAAAAGAGCTTTCAAAATACCCAAGAGTAAGCTCTAAAAAAACAGGTGACTAAAAAAATTAAGCCCCTTTCCATTCATAATTAAAGCCCCTTTGAGAATAGCATCTAACAGTTCTTGCTGATGCCAAAAATCGTCAACTTCTGAAAAGGATTACTATTTTAGTAAATGATTAACAAATAGCTTACAAATTTTTAGTCACCTTCTGAAAAAGGTGATTTTTAGTAATCTGAATAGAACAGTAGCTCTGAACATGGGGTATTTGGTCTTAAAACCTAAGCTGCATCTCTCATCTGAAACACAAACAAGGTCAAAGACTCTTCCCTCAATCTTATGGAAATGTTTTTGCATTGGTTTAAAAATTGATTCTGCTCCTCTGGTTCACTGGAAACCAGAAGTAAACTGTAATCACATGTTAATATATGGGTAACCAAATCTGAGAGCGCAGGGCTGAGAATGTGCTAGTTTCTTTCGGTGCTGGTGGGGATTTGGCTCAGTTTCTGCCTTTGCCAGGACTTGAGTAAACCTGCTGGTTCAGCCAAAACATCTAAACATCCACTTCACATTCAGCAAGCCCCATGGCATTTCCCTAGTTCTGCTGCCAGCAGGACCTCAACTGGGGATCTGCAGTCTTGCATTATTATTAGGAAAGCTATTTTAAGCTTTTCCAGAAGAATTACCCCCCCCAGCAAACACGTGCAAGAGGTGAAAGATACAGTGGCACCTTCAAATGACGGAGGCAAACCCTTTTCAGACGTGGTTTCCTGAAGGCACTTTTCTCTATCATGGTTTAGGCTTTTACAGAAGCAACCAGATTTTTTTATTTTTGCTGAGGTTTGAGCCCCATTGAGCAGGGGGCAAGACCCGGCTGAACGCTATGTCAGGAAATGGTGTTGCTTTGACAAAATGCCCTGTGCCACTGTGATTGCCCCTTCTTCTTGGGGCGGGTGTGTGCTCTGAGAGGGATCTTGACCTTTAAGGGGCAAAAAAGGATGTATATTTTATATAATACTTTTTATTTTATATATAATATCGTATAAATAAATTGCTATATAGGATATTATGTATGTATATATGTATGTACAGGTATATGTAGATATAAAAATATGTTTAATATTATATATATAAAACTTCTATTGATATTTTGCTGTGACAGGCTGGTGATGTGCCCTTTGGGGCAGCAGGGCCATGGCCAGGCAGGGATGCTCCTCCACTGTCACCCTGGTTGCTCCTGCAGAAAGAAGAGGGAGCTTTGCCTTGTGTAAAGCACTGCCAAAAATACGTGTATAAAAAAACGTGCCAGCAGCTCCCCGCTGTGCTGTGAGGGTATGTGGTGACTTTAGGTGAGCTCGCTTTGCTGCGGGGGCCGCTCCCTCGATCTTATCTGCCCTGAGAAGGCAGGTACTTGGGGAAACAGGGCGATCCCACGATCTTATCACCCCCACCTCTCACGGGGGCTGCTGCTGGGTGCAGGGCCCGGGGCTGGTTCGGTGGTTTTCGGGTGCATGGCCTGGGGATGGTGTGATGGTTTCCAGTGTTCCACTGGGGCACGTCCGTCTCCCTGGGGGACAGAGGGATCAGGCACATGACAGGGTGCTCGCAGGGAGGTGGCACTGGCACCACTTGGCACCCTTGCTGGCTGCTTTTTAAGTTCAGGCAGATCCCAAATGAACAACCTTCGGCAAGAAAAGTGTTTTATTCCCCTTCTGGGCAACAGGGTTTGCTCTTTTCAGTGCAGAAGTCCCGAGGTGAGGTGGGGAAGAGGCCCTGTCCCATGAGCAGCCACACAGGTATTGGGAAAAACACTGTTGGGGGGTGAATAATACTATGGGCTCCTATTAACACCAGGTGGGACACTTACTTAGAATAAACAAGAGCTAAGCATAGAATCATAGCATCATCTAGGTTGGAAGGTACCTTCAAGATCATCTAGTCCAACCATCAGCCTAACCCTGACAAAAAAAACCCCACACGTCACTAACCCGTGTCCCCCAGGACCATGTCAACCCATCTTTAGAACACCTCCAGGGATGGTGCTGCAACCACTTCCCTGGGCAGCCCATTCCAATGCTTGATAACCCTTTCAGTGTAAAAAATTTTCCCAATATCCAAGCTGAACCTCCCCTGGCACAACTTGAGGCTGTTTCCTCTAGTCCTGTCACCTGTGACTTGGGAGAAGAGATAGACCCCCACCTCACTACACCCTCCTTTCAGGAGGACACGGCGTAGAGGACACGGCACTGGTCTGAGCCTAAGGATAGCCTCTGTGCTCTTTGCTGTTATGGCCTTGTTCATCCCAGCGATGCTGGAGGTTTCCGTATCCCTCCAGCAGTTAGCCACCGGCTCGGTAGCTGTGACCATCATCCCCCTGGGAACGGGATACTAAACTCAACAGGGGAAAGCTCCGTCATGGTTGTTGCTCCGTGATCCTATAATATATCCTGTCACGGTGGATTTGGTGCAATACAGTACATAGAACAAGAATTTTTGAATTAACCTGAAGAGAAAAATGTGTGGAGTGCTGCTATCTTTCTGCTTGTTAACATGCCAAATACAGCTTGTCCAGCTTGAAAAGGGGAAAATATGATCCACTTAGAAATGAACTGCTTAGTCAATTCCACCACCGGGCTGTGAAACAATCCCAAAAAGCCTCTTCAGCGTTGCCAGAGTTCAAGGTGGGGTGAGGAATATTTTGCTGGTGGTTCTTTAGGTCATTTGCCTCGAGCCCTCTGTGGTGGGAGTCCTGGTGGGGTTTTGGTTGTATGGTGATATGCCCTGGCTGTGGGATGCTCGCTGGAGGTGGAGGAGGAGGATGGGGGAGCCGTGCACCCACCTAAGCAGTCCCTCGAGAGGCTCCCAAACACTTTGATGTTTGGAAAAGCAGAATCATGGGGAAGCTATTCCAGAAGGAAAAACACAGGTGAAGAGAAATAACCAGATGGAGTGTCCTGAAGCCAGGACCCAGCACCCTGCAAGATGGCATGGGGCCCTGGGCTCCCCCCACCCCACTGAACCTCCCGTGGGCCTTTGCTGCCCAGGAGCAGCCCCCATGCTTTCTGCCACAGCACCTGGAAATTGTCCCTGATGCTGAGGAAGGCACCAGTCAGGTTCTAGGTTAGCTTGAAAATCTTGGGGCGCCATAAGCAGCCCAGGACTACCCCACCACCCTCCACCTTCTCATCCTTCTGTGTCTGAAAAACAAAAAAACTGCATATCCTTCTGCAGTTCTTAAGAGCTGCCTGCGTTAAAAACAAAATAAAACATTTCCAGGCTCAGCCAGAAACAAGTATTGATGTCTAAGTGGAGCAGACATCTGATGGAAATACTGACACACTTAAGCACTTGGAGCTGCAAACCACACAGAAAGTGAATTATTGCTGGGATGAGCCAAGCAGCTACGGAGATGAAGTATCTTATCCTTATAAGTGAATGCATACAAAAGCATTTTAGCATTGCTGGGCCAGCTGCTCCTCATTGTTGAAGGTGCTTCCTGGCTAGTTGCTGCCTTTTTGCTCCTCTGAACAGCTTAAAAATTGCCTCTTTCGCTGTAGCATGTTTGCTACAAGCAGCACTGAGGATGATGCAAGTGGTGATCTCCATCCAAAACATCTCTGGGTGATTCTCAACTCATTACTGCTTTGGCTAAACTAATAAATGGTTGAATTTTAGTCATGTCTTGGGAGCCCACAACCTAGATAGCCTCCTTCTCTCCAAGAATCCATTTAAGTTGCAGATGCATTAATCCCTGCTCTGCTGGCAAGTGGTGGAGTGGGCTCCTGTAACCCCTACATGAGTTAACTCCCTAGTAATTTATACCTATGTCTGCTCTGGATTTTGAAAAGATGCTGTTAATGTCAGTTAGATCCTAAATGGGAGTTTCCTTTGGGAGAGCCAGGGCACGGCAGGCAAACCTTTACAACCTGACTTGTATTAGAAACGCTTCAGGAAAGTTTTAAAGGATGCGTGGGGATAACTGTTTGCCAGCAGTGAGGATTGTTTTCTTAGGACCCAGGACCGAGATCCAGGAGATGTGTGTTCGTAGCCCCAGTAAATGTGAAAACTTGCCTCCCTGCAGTGCTGCTTTGTGGTGGGAAGTTCTTTGACTGCCTGACTCAAAGCTGCGTGTCCAGATGGAAGCAAGCATGTTGGGAGAGCTCGGCGCCTGCTCCCCTCTGCTGTTTTCCTTATGGTTTAGCAATGGGAGATGCAGAATGAAGAAGGTGGTCAAACCCTCACCCAGGTCCCCAGAAGGGCTCAGCCCATCTATGTGAAATCCTTCCAAGCACAGGCTGCACAGGCAACACCTGCCACTTTGTTCATGCAATGTTTTTGGAGATGTAGACTTCTGCGAGCCAATCTGATGGCTGGATTCCTGGCCTCAGGAAGGGCAACTTCATGTCTCCTTCATGTTTTGGTGGGGGAGGAACCGTCCTTGTTGAGAAAGAGTTAGAAACACAACGCACTTGCGGCTAGAAGGTGGGAAAGAGGTTCTGAGCACCCAGTGGGAGTCGTGAGCTCTGGTCACCTGCTCTAAACTCCAGCTGTTCTCAGCATGGAAATGGCATTGTCCCCACTTTCAGATTTATATTGTATTTGAAAGCTATATGAGGAATAATAATAGCAAAATTTCGCTCTCCAAGGTTGCAGATGGGCACAGCACTTAAGCACTTATGTGCACATTTAAGTATTTTGTGGAGGTCTCTGATTTGGGTCCTGTTTATTTTTTAAACCATAAGCATATAAACTGAAATTTGAAAGACTGTTTAAAGAAGTGAGATTAAAACTGTTGGTAGCACTCTCCTTTTAATTCACCACTCCATCGTTCCAGATATTACTCCCAATCAGGAGAAATAAAGTCTGAACTTTGCATTTAACAAGCATCAGGAGTCCGCTGGGGAGACTGAGGGCCGAGATGCCAAAATAAAGTTGTCAGAAACAAGAGATGATGCTTCTTTCCACAGAAGAAGCTTCAGACCCCAGTTGTTCTGCTCTGATTCAAAAGTGAATTTCCTCTTCAATTCAGCGTTTCCTAATTATGTTTTATAAAAAGAATTTGTCACTTTGTCATTAACCCAGGTTTGTTATGGTTTTCAAAAAAGAGTGATTTCCCTTTAAATGGCTAAACAGTACAGTTTGGCTTATGCTTAGTCTAGGCTTGTTCCCGTTTGGTAGATTTATGATATAAAAGCAGAAATATCCAAGTCTTGATCATTTGGCAAACAGCTTGGGTAAAACCGTGTATTTTGTATGGTGTAATTGTGCAGCTGCATGGGGTTTGTTTTCCAGTATATTAAATTAGCAAGAGCTTCCATCAAAGTCAACAAAGATCAGTACCACAGTCCTCCCTGTATACAGGGCTTTTTAATTGGGAACCGAAGTTGGTACCATTTAAAAATTCCTTACAGTCTAGAAGAAGGAATATAAAGACTGAAATCAGAGTTATGACACTTAATTCAGAATACTTCTCAGCTGTGATTTCTCCAAGAAAGTATCCCAGTTGGGAAGAGACCATGGGCAAACACTCAATGTCACAACAGGTGCTGGTCTAATAGGAAGAAGATGCTGAAGCTCTCTTTTCTCTTACTCTTTTTACTAAAAGTATATGCTTTCAGGGAAAACCTTTTCATTAAAAGGAAAAAAACCCACGACCTTAAACCTTTGACTAGATGAATACCACAAAATTCTGGCCAAAACCTAAAATATTTGAGTTGGAATTGCTGCCAGGGTATCACAGGGAAGGTTCTTTGTAACCCCAATGAGTGTGGGCTTTGCCTCCTGTGAGACGATACCTCCCATGAAATACCACATTTTCAGGTCCCCAGGTTTCTTCATTTTTACACTACAGGGCTATTGACTGAAACATTTTTATATTTTTAAATTTCCAGAAGAATAAGAACTTGTGTGATGAGAAAAGCAATACATTTTTCTCTTATAACCTGCTCCAAATTAATGCCAAAAGAGCAGCTTGAAGCCAATGCCACATCCTCAGGTATTCAGAGCTGCTGTAATTGCATCAATTTTATAGTCAAATTGTAATCTATGAATATGCTTAATTAGGATCTCTATCCATATCTGATTACTGTTGGGGATCAACTCAAGATGATCTGGGTTTGGATCATGGGATTAAGTTCAGACCAATCTGTTTTGAATTACTTTCTACTTGTTAATTATATAATCATAGCACCAAAGTGTCTTCACTGTGGAATAGGATCCCGCGCGATACATACTGTACAAAACCAAGAAGGCTCTTGTGCCCGGTGGAGCGTACAGTCTCAGTGCAGGTGTAAGCCAGAAGATAGAGATAAGGCAATGCCAAGTGAAAATGTAGGTTAGCGTAGACAAGGTGGGAAGAATGGCACTCTCACTGTTGATCTAGATGGGTTGAGGGCAGCGGTAGAGGACTAATTTTTTCTTCATTTAACTGGTATAGAGGAGGAATAAACCATTAAATGTTAGGCATGAGTTTATGTCACTAAAATGAGGACCGTCAGATGCAAGAACCACACTTTCAATGTGCCCCATATTTCTCCACGGGGAGACTTAAGAGCTTGAATGTTTCCTTGTGTCCTTATCCTACAGCAAAACAAAATTCTCCAGCCCATGGCAGGGTTCACTGTCATCACTTGTGGAACATACCGCCACAGCTGGTGGATAGACTGAAGAAATAGGTTTTTCGGCTTTCATGCTCCGTCTTTGGTTCTGCACTTTGTTGCACAGAGTTACTCCAGCAACCTAGTGATGGGTTCATTTATTTTAGCTATTCCAGCCTGTCCCTTCTCCCTTGTTTTCTTCAGCCCACGGAGGCTGCCTTTGAACCATCCACAGTCACTTGAGAAATTGAGTTTATTCCCGTTTCTGCTCCTTGTATCCCCCTCCTTGCTGGGTCTTGCAGGGGTTGTGGACTGTCAGGAATAAAGACATTGAGATCCAGAGACTGAACCGTGAACTTAGGAAGAGTACACATGCTTGTTTCTGCCAGATCACCCTGCCATGCAATGTCAGGTGTTGCAATGATGCTGCAAAGAACTCTGTGCTGTTTGTTGTGATGCATGTGATGGGGTGGCTGTGTTCTGGTCACTATAGGGTTGAAAGCATCCTTGTAGATCAGCCGGAGCCCTGAATGTAGTGTGCACATCTGTGTTTGCATTACTACCTGCCTGGAGCAGGCAAGGTTTGGCAAGGAGGAGCTCTGGGCACATGAAGCATCAGTAGGGCAAATACATTTCATTTTTAAATGCTCTTTCATTTTCCAACACCTGCTCTTATTTACTCATTTCCATTTCTTTCTCCTTTTGCAGAATACTTGAAGAGCGAGACCGCCTTTCTGGAAGAGTTGGTGTTTGGAAGTGGAGATACCATTGAACTTTCGTGTAACACCCAAGGCTCTTCTGTGTCTGTTTTCTGGTTTAAAGATGGTATTGGGATTGCACCTACCAACAGAACTCATATTGGACAAAAACTGTTGAAGATAATCAATGTGTCCTATGATGACTCAGGGCTGTACAGTTGCAAGCCAAGGCATTCCAATGAGGTCCTGGGAAACTTTACAGTCAGAGTTACAGGTACGTACAGAAATAGAACTGTCTCAGTGTGCTTTTTTTATTATTTAATTTTAAATTTTTGCACCTTTACATGTTCAGCACAGCTGGTGCTTTGTGGTCTTCATCAGTACTTGGTAGGTCTCTACCTCCCTGGTAACTCCTGGCAGTGATTAGACTGACAAAACAAACCAGTTGAGGAATGCTTGCGTGTCCATACCAAATGTTAAAGCTTGATGTTAATACTGAGAGAGACTTAGAAACAGTGCTAGTCAGATTAAACCCCAAATCCCCCTTAACACTCAAATAGATGCAATGCTACATGTGCCTTTGAAGTCTTTTGTGAGCGAGTGAACTGTGGCTCAGGGAGGTTAAGTGACTTTTTCCACTTTATGTGACAAATCAGTGGCAAAATTGCATGTAAAAGCTGGAGCTTCCTAAACTGTTGTAGCTGATAAATCTCTTCCCTCCATTCCAGTTACTACAAATTACTAGTTTGTTTCGGAAGCAGTTTATCTGTAAACTGTGTGTATCTTGAATATATGCTTCATCAGAGGTCCTTACTGGGATTCATATATTGCAGACAAGTGCTGTGTTAGGAAAGCGCATGCTGTCGTTTGCTTGGCCATATTTTCCATGATTAGGATGGTGGGACAGAACGACTACAAGCTGTCCAAGCCTGCATCACTAAACAGAGGGTGCCAGAAAAATCTGTTGTTCCCAGATAGCTAACCGCTAGCTCTAAGATCATCTCCGTGATTTCAGGCTGCTCATTTTGGTAGATGGATACTCATCACTGTGAGCAGATAGAAAGCCATCTGATCACACAGATTAAAAGCCTGAATTTTCAGAAGAATTAACCCTTTGTGGATCTAAGGTTTTGGTAACTTTCCTTCCTTCTTGCACCGTTGGAGCTTTTTCAGGCATCCCCACACAGTAGGTCCTTGCCTCCAAGAGTTGAGTTCCCTCAAAAAGTAAAGGGGCTCCATTTGAAAACCAAACACAGAGATGTTTGTGATTGTAAATCATTCCATAAAGGGCTTTCTCATGCCAGAAATAGGATTTTGTGTAAGTGAGAGAATCAAACCATCATGAGAATAAAAGCTCGTTTCAGCAAGCCGTCACCAACATCTGCTTTTCATTGAATGTTACTGGAGATTGCTGTGAATGCTTCAAGGTCATATCAATTAAATGGTTAAAGAAGTATTTGGCCCTTGAAAGGCTTTCTTTAACTAGGTACGATTATTGGAACTATCCAAGGAACTGCAGGTTGTTAGAAACATTACTCTCTTTTTTTTTTAAAGTGACATTAAAATGCTTTTGAGTTCAAGGGGCAGCAGGGAGGCAGAAAGGGGCAGCTGGTTACACGCTCAAATGAAACAGCTGCCAGCCCCAAAAGTTCGTAAAGTGAGAAATTGTTTTTAATAGTGGAAGGGCTGATAATCCTCTGCTTTTAAAAAGTTTAAGCCCCTGTGTTTTTCCTCTTCGTTAATAATAGCTAATAACAGCTTAAGAACAAGCGAGTAACCTGAACCTGCTTTCTGACAGCATTATGAGTCTTTGATTCTATTAGCCCACTGTCATTACCACCAAAGTGCTGGTAATGTGGGAGTCTCCGTTTTAGCTGTCAGCAGCACTTGTTTTAAACTTTGAAGCTCTGCTTTATGTGGCAATAGTGGCGCCTCTCATATGCTCAGACATTTCTTCATAATTAGTATTGATTGCTCAGCGTGGCACTGCGGAGATGAGATTGTTATCGGAGATTTGTGGTTTGTGTTCCCACTTCTTAGAGGTAACGCCAGCGATTATATCGGGTATCTGATCGGGTGTTTATATGGATATCTAATGGTCGGGGCTGGAGTTCTTCTCTGCATTCAACTAGTTTAATTCTCTACTAATAAACTGGGATTGCGCTGATCTGTATTTTTAAGTGAGCAAAACTAGACTAGGTATATTCAGAACAGCTGATATACATGTAAGTCCCGTTTTGAGAGATGCTTCCAGATTCTAAGAGCATATCACGATTTTCCTATGTGGGGCCATGAGTTCTGAGTGCAACAAATTGGTTCTTCTGGAGCAACTCTCCATGTGCACAGTGAGATGCTGAAGGCAGAACAAGGAGATGCCCGAGCTGGCATTTCAGGATTGAAAACCAGGTTGATTAATAGCAGGGTTTGATCTCTTTAAAATGCCTCCCATGACAGACATGGGCTTGGGGTGTTTTTCTAGTTTACCAAAAAAAATATACTGTCCTCTTAAAACCTGAGCACTTGAAGAGGATCACAAATAGCGGCTGCGTGCCCAAACTGCTCTCCAGCCCTGTTGGCAGAAGCTCCATTTCTGCAACCATTTCACGCACAGAACAGCCTTTGGATTTAATGGCCAAGCAGCACCCCTGGGATGAGCACGGACTGCAGGCTGGTACCAGCAAAAAGAGCTTTCAAAATACCCAAGAGTAAGCTCTAAAAAAACAGGTGACTAAAAAAATTAAGCCCCTTTCCATTCATAATTAAAGCCCCTTTGAGAATAGCATCTAACAGTTCTTGCTGATGCCAAAAATCGTCAACTTCTGAAAAGGATTACTATTTTAGTAAATGATTAACAAATAGCTTACAAATTTTTAGTCACCTTCTGAAAAAGGTGATTTTTAGTAATCTGAATAGAACAGTAGCTCTGAACATGGGGTATTTGGTCTTAAAACCTAAGCTGCATCTCTCATCTGAAACACAAACAAGGTCAAAGACTCTTCCCTCAATCTTATGGAAATGTTTTTGCATTGGTTTAAAAATTGATTCTGCTCCTCTGGTTCACTGGAAACCAGAAGTAAACTGTAATCACATGTTAATATATGGGTAACCAAATCTGAGAGCGCAGGGCTGAGAATGTGCTAGTTTCTTTCGGTGCTGGTGGGGATTTGGCTCAGTTTCTGCCTTTGCCAGGACTTGAGTAAACCTGCTGGTTCAGCCAAAACATCTAAACATCCACTTCACATTCAGCAAGCCCCATGGCATTTCCCTAGTTCTGCTGCCAGCAGGACCTCAACTGGGGATCTGCAGTTAGATACGTCCTTGAAGTCTTCCTTGGGACTTTGCCAGAGGAAGGTGCGCAGCATGATGCACCACTGAAGTCTAAAGCAGGGAGATGATTCCTGTCTTACTTGGTCCTGTAGATGGTGAACATGTCTGGAAAGTCCTGGGAAGTACTATTTGTTGTTACCTTTCCCCTACCTTTTCATATGTTTTCTTTATTTTTTTCCTCTTTCTTTCCCCCCTCTTTTTTTTTTTCTTCGTTTTTCCTGCCCATGTTTACCTCTACTGAGTTGTTCAGAAAACAGCAGAAAATTCAAGTGCATCTTAAAATGAAGGTGGTTCTGCCTGGCTTGGTCTAAAGTAGTGCTTTACATTTCTGGCCACATGTTGAACACTCATAAAGTTTCCTATTTTCTAGTGTTTAAGGCCAAGTTCTTTTATCGCTGTCTTAGAATACAAAGGTTGTGGGGTTGTTAGCATTTTGCCTTTATTTAGAAAAGAAATTCCTGGAGATGGTATGAACTCAGTGATGCTAAGTCTTCTAGACATGGAATTGTACTAAACTAAATCAAACACTAAGTTGCTATTTTATCATGGGGTTTATATACACAGTAGTTGTGTGCTAGGGGAAAAGAGACTGAGACTTCGCTGTAGATAGCTTGGAAAAGGTGAGATGTTAGACCACAGTAAGAGAAACAATTCAGGATGTTTTGGGAAGATACAGATGGAAAATTCCCACCTGTTAACCTGGATTCAGTTACAGCCTCGAGGTGCCTCTGCAGGAGGAATATAATTGAAGGGAACTGGTTCACAGAGTAGCCATCAAAATGTCTATTGAGAGAGAGGTTTGATTGCAAGGGGAATTTTTAAAAGCTTTGGTCTGAGTGGTTTAGCAAGGATTTAGCAAGGAGAGATGTGGCAGGGGTGTAGTGAGTTAAAAGAAAAACACAGGGAATGTGAATTAGAAACACTGACCTGTCATTTTGAGACTTGGTGAAATAAAAAGTCTTCAGAGTGAATGCTAGAGGGAGGGGGGGAAGCAAGGGAGAGCTTGTTCTGCAAAAAGAAACTTCCCCTTTTGGAATTGTTTTTGTATTTACAAGGAGAAGAGCACTTTGCACGGGGAGAAGTATTTGGCATTGGACCCTGTTCTTTGGTGGCAGAGCACTGGCAAACTCATGGCACCTCTCTCCCAGTTCAGAAAGCTCCTGGCTGCTTGTCCCTGGCCTGGCAGTGTGGGAGGGACAGGCTGGTGGAGCTGCAGGGAAGGGAGACCCATCACTGGGATGTCCTCCCTCGCTGGAGCCCACAGTGGTACTGGCAGCCTCATCTCATGTGGTGTCCCCGCATGCCATCCTCTTTCTGCTTCACTTCTTTCTCCTTCTCCTAGATTCCCCTTCATCGGGTGATGATGAAGATGACGACGATGAGTCAGAAGATACAGGTAATTTGTTTTTCTGGGATACAGAGGCCTTTTAAATTCTCCTTGCATGTAAATCTAGAAAAAACATTTTTTTTTTTCTTTTTTACTGCACTGACATTACACCAATTTTACGCCATTGCAAACCTTGGCCTGCTTTGGTTTTAGGTGGTTTGATTCTGGTCCTTACCAGTATCTCAGCTGGAGGCAGAGCATGAAATTTACACTAACCAAGGGCCGAATTTACTGATGGCATAAGCGAGAGCAACCCCTTTGGCTTTACTGGCTTTTTCTTGCACTCATGTGGGGAAGGGAGCCCTAGGACAGAGCCTCTCCATGCTTTTACACTGAAGCCCTTTCAATCCCATTGCTTGTTTCTTTAAGTGCAAGAGCATTAATCAGGATCATTACATGCTTCAGAGGCGTTAGTGTTGTATTTTATTATGCTCTTTATATTTCTGCAAAGTGAGCTGCCTGTATGTATGTGCTTTTAATAAATAAATGTCTTGCATTTGAACTCCCAATCAGCTATGTACATTGGCAGAAGTTCAACATGACTGGAAAATTTCTCCTGCCCATAGCGTTGGACATGCAGGACTTTAAAACAGGTCTCCCACTGTAATAAATTCATACCGCTGTGTTGTGCAGTATGTGGACAGTAATGGTGAGTTACGGTGCCAGGCAACCCATCAGCAGCATTTAGTGGTTTTCTGATAGCTTCTAATTAAGGCCTGATCCTGTGAGGTGACAAGCACCTTTGCAGAGATGCTCAGGGCTCCTGATGCCTGCTGAAGCCTGGTAGAGGCATAGGGAGGGTCAGGATTTGTCCCTGCTGCAGAGCAGCTTCTGATGAGCACAATTAATCGCTCTGTACTTTTTTTTATGTGGTTTGTAGTAAAGTCCATCTCTTAGCAACAGGTATCACAAAACATCAGCTGGTTTATGGTACAGAAAGACTCGTTTCTCTTCACTGAAAAGGAAAACACACGTTTCACCGCATGTATTTATAGCCTGTATTCTGGGTCTTCTTGACTTCAAGGCTGTCTCTTTTTTTAGACCTGAAGGTAACAACTGGCTTTGCTTAAAGGTCTCGTTATAAAAAGTTGGATTGTCTTCTACTTTCAAATCGGTTGATTAGCTTCATGTGCCAACACAGTGAAACCTCATGGTGCATCATGACTTTGATGTGCTTTATGTTGCTTTGTTTGATGTCAGACCCTCCAGACCCTCCAGTTAAACTTCACAGGTCTTCTCTTGAGTCTGGGGAGCTGTGTTCTTAACCTCGGCACCACTGCCACTGGGACATCCCACTGGGGACAGGAGCTGCAGGACCACCATGGGCCAGTAGACACATGGGTGTAACCAGTGCCCTGTCCTATGGACAGCCCAAAGGCCTGTGTCCTCCATCTCTTGTGGCAAAAAGATACCCTGCTAATGAGGTGTATGAGCCCCCGCTTGGCCACCAGACGTAGCCATGGTTGGTAGATACCCAGGTGAAGGCAATAAATTCCTTTCCTTCATGCAAAGGAAAAATATAACTGACAGTTATTCACATTTAGAGGGAGGTAGTCCATCCAGGACTGGCTCATAAAACCTTGTCTCCTGTCCCCTTGTGATGACAAGTTAATTTTCTGGCTTACTTGTCTTGTTCAAGAGTTTCTTATCCTCGTATGTAGAGAAGAGCTTGGAGAGCTGATTCCAATAGAGTAATGAGTTTGAAAGCAGTCTTGTTATTTTTGGAGGTTTGACACAAAATTGTTGAATGACAGGAGCTGGAAATACCGAAGCTAGAGAACAAGAAGAAATCTGTCCTGAAAGAAATTAATATTTGGTGCGAAAACCCTTGGAGAGCACATACACAGCCCCTCTGCCCGGAGCGCCCTGCTCTGCTCACCCTCCTGAAGGCATCCTCTCAATAGTGCAGCACAGAAACGGGACATCCCTTAGGCATGGGTGGCAGAGAAGAAGAAAGAGGAACTTCAGCAGCCTCAAATCATCAGCCTGTCTGTTGCAGCCTTGTCACAAACCCTGATCCACCTTTGCAAAAAGAGGCTTTCCAATACCTCTGTTCTCTACAGCTGTTTCTCCTGGCCCTGAAACAAAACCAAAACTCCCTTTTCACACACTGCTCTTCTGCCCCAGTGCTCCCTACCCCTCTGTATCTGTTTGTTTGGAGCCCCTGCTGCGTAGCCCCAGCACCTTCAAAGAACCCCTATAATCTCCAATTAAATCTGGCTGTGTATTCGGAGGTGTCAGCTGGGGAAATTACACAATTAGGGTTGATTCTGTCTGCCGCAGAATTTTGTGGCAGCTCCTAATTGCTAAATGAGCGCTCGGCTGTATTAATTATTCCAAGTATCGCTCTCAGTTTTTTTTTAATTGGTCATTCTAGTTGGATGGGTGGCCAATGTCTTTGACGAACAAAACGGACTGTTGGGCTTAGTGTTTGATGATGGGAAAGGGCCAGTTATAATGTTTGTGGCTCCCTTTTTTTTCACACCTGCACATGCAGAATTGTTGCTCGTAACTAATTTAGAGAGAGCAGATCTAGAAATTTTTTCTCTCTTTCATCCTTCCTCCTTCCTCTCTCCCAAACCTCTCTGGAGCTTTGCAAGCTTTTCTTGAAAAGAGGAGTTAGCAACATTTTCACCCCTTTAAAAAGTGGTAATGAAAGGACTCTGGGGGCACAGCAAACTGAAAGCGGTGATGTTTTGTTCGCTGCTCCTGCGAGTGAGAACAAAGGCACCGTTTTCAATGCGTAGACACTTTCTTCCAGTTCCAGTTCAACTGGAGAGCGATGCCCTGGTTGTTGGAATCTTGGCACGTTGTTCTCGGGGTGCACAGCCCAGACGAGCCCCAAATCGCATGGAAAAACACCCAAACGGAGGCGGGGTGCTCGGGTAAGAAGCTGTGTCTAATTGTAGGAGGGAGGAGTGGATCCCGCCTTTGCTCCATATGGAGAATATCCCCAGCTGGAAGCTTTCCTGGGCCCCATCTTGCTCCTCTCTGATGTCCGATGGCAAAATCCCCCTTGGCTTCAGTGGCAAAATTTGCAGCCAGTGGGCTGATGGGTCTCCTGTGAGATTCAAGCTCATCTTTTGAGTGAGAAAATGTGATGAAATGTCGCCCTGCAGCGCACACAGCTGGTGTGGAAGGGGAAAACCCCCCCAAAAAACACAGCAGAAGGAGGAGCTCAGGCCTGGTGGGGCGGCCGTGCGATCTAGTTACACCCCTGTGCCCGGGTGAGTGTCACTGACTCCATAAAATGGGATTTATTGTAGGCAGATATGTTAATCAAACAACAAACAGGGGGTTATTTGGCCGCCCTTCTTAGCTGTGCCGAAGGGGGACTTTTCCATCCGTGCCTGGCCTTTCCCTGAACTCTCCCCCGTAGCCCCGTTAACCTCCTGTGTAGTCCCCGGGAAATCAGGGTGCATTGCCAAAAGGAAGCATTCATCCAGAAAATAGCCTGTGCCTCTAAAACCACCACTGAGGGCTAGGTCTCTCCGAGTGCAGTTTCTGCAGCTCCCTCCTCTTCAGCCTTCCCAACACCACCCCATCTGTCCTCCTCCAGATCCAGCCCCCTGCTGCAGCCGGGGCTGTTGCCCAGCCTTTGCTTGGTTTCTGCCCTTCCCAACACGTGTGGTAGCAGCATCTTCCTTTGCCATCAAGACCTGCTCTTCCTTTAGGGGTTGCATCCACCCTGCTAATGTTTTGTTGGAATGTTCTCCCCCTTTTTGTGCAGTTCTTTACCATTTTTCTAAGCTTAGATATTGGAAGGTAGATGGTTACATGGCGTCCTGTGTTATTGTATAGTATCTGAGTCCTCTTCTGGATGTGCCGTTTGTTTACAGGAAAGTTTTCTGTAGCTGGGATTTCGCAGGAGCACGGGAATTGCAGAGATTCCTCCTTTTGCTTTTGTTTGTGCCAGCTGTACTCCTGCTCTGATGCCAGCCCAGCAAGAAAAGGGCCTTAAGCAGTTTTGTTGTTTAAAAATTGAGGCATATGCAGCATGGGTGAGCACCAGATCCCTCTGATACGTGGAGCTGAGTCTGATAGGCATCACAGCACCTTGTGCAAAGCTGTCTGAGGGCAAATACAAGCCCCGAATACTGGATTTCAACCCAAGGACCGCATTATGGAGGCGCCTGTGTCCAGCCAGCTGGCTGCAGAGGTGTGAAAGCAGATGAGACACAAGAGCGATGTGCCCAGCAGGGCCATCTCCAGCAAATGGAGGGCCTCCTGGATGCAGCTCCTGACATCCAGATCTTCATGGCTAGGTGGGCTTCACAAGGAGCCTCAGGGCAGAGGGGACCATATGGAGAGTGTTAGCAGGTGCAAAAAATCAGGTGCATGGGTTGCCTTGGCTGAGCTATATGACTTTGCCTGCAAAATCCTCACAGCTGAAATGCAGCAAGCAGCCTTCATGCGGGACTCTAGGGACATGGGACCAATGTGGGATCATCACTGACTTACCTGGAATTGCAACAAGATGGGTCTCATCAAACACATCAAGGCTAAGTACATTGGGGAGCTCTGGAGAAAGGGAGCAGTTCAGGGGCTTCTCAGAGGGATTCAGTCCTTGTACATCTTCATCATTAAGAGGAAGGAGGTTGCAGAGGCTTCAAGAGTAGTGCTGAGGTGGAGCCGTGATGGTGGGTGGTGTTTCTGAGCATTGTCACCACTGCAGGAGAGACCAGCAGCAATGCTTTCTTGACGGTTTTGGCAGCCATCATGTTCTCATGGCAGTTCTTGAAGGACTTGCACCTTCATTTTGTCTTGGCCCAGAAGTACATAGGTCTCTGCGACCAATGGTTTTGGGTACTCTGTGCCTATGGATGCATCCTTCCCATCTGGAGGAGAAGCCAGTCACACTCTTTGGCCTCCTTTGACAGCCCAAACACTGTCTGCCCCCATCTCCCTTTGGCCTGAGCGTGGAGCACAGAACTCGGGGGCTGGATGTGGCCCCCAGCATGGCAGGGGAAACACCCCACATGCAGCTCTGCAGTGTTTCCTTAAGCAGAAATGAAAGCTTGGGAGGCTTTTTTAAAAAACTTTCTCTTTCTTTCTTCCCAGTATAATGACTTTGCTGCTGCTGCTGCCTTAATTTGGAGTTAATATGTAATGTTTGTAACACAGCCAAGAAACATCACTGTACTTGAGGCAGATTATAAAAAGTATCTCATGCTAACACTGGTGTTTTAAAACTTATCCCTGTTCAAAGGTAACATGAATCTTTAAAACTAAAATCACTTGTACTTAAAGAACATAAACATGATAAACCAGTTTGGCACTGCTTTTTTTTTTTCTTTCCTTCCCTTAAGGAGGCTACACTACATTTGTGCTCACTGAGAAGCAAAATTTTCCAGTGCACTCAGCTAACACTTTCTCTCTGCTCCCTTCCTGGCCCATCAACATTTTTTTACCGTTCCAACATCTTTCTGCTGTTCATGCTTCTTGGCTGCTATTGTCCTGAAGGTACATCTGTATCTTTTTACACACTGAGGCCAGATTCTCATCCTCATCTGGGATAACTCTGTTGATTTAAAAGCAGCTACTCTAAATTTATACCGGCATTACTGAGACAAGAACCTGGTCATGAACCTTTCATCACAAACCTAAAATGTGAACACCCTGTCTACGTCTATAAGAGTCATTTAGCTGGAAAGCATTTCTGTGTCATTTATCTTAACTGCAGCAGGTAGCAATTTAACTGTCACTCCGCACATGCCAAAGCCTCCTCAAATGCATCTGCTCACCAGCTGATATCTTCCGTGGCAGAAATGGGCCTGCTTAACTTGGTCTTTCCTTTCTCAGGTGTCCCCTTCTGGACCCGGCCAGATAAGATGGAGAAGAAGTTGCTGGCAGTTCCTGCGGCCAACACCGTTCGCTTCCGATGTCCGGCGGGTGGAAACCCAACTCCTTCCATCTACTGGCTGAAAAACGGCAAGGAGTTCAAGGGAGAGCATAGGATCGGGGGCATCAAGGTAAGGCCTTGGTTTGGATCTCTGTTTTTATCAGGAGTTTTCTACCAACTGTAGAAAATTGTGTTTCACAGTGATTACTGTTGGTACATGGAAGAGCACAGTCCTGATTGCGTGGGAGCGTTTCTTGCAGCCTTAGCTATTGCTCAACACTGAAGTGTTAAAAAGGGCTGCTGTCCCTTGGGATCGGGGGCCAAGTCCCTATGGGTTTGTCTGTAGTGGTCATTTGGGGACTGAGTAAAAACCAGGCTGGGTTTATGGTTGTGTTGTGGACAGTGATGAGAAAGCAGGAAGAGAAACTTGTGTCCTAATTTCTGGAAATCAACCCAGTGCATTGAGACGTGTTAGACCAAGCTGTAGCTACTCCCAGCTTTCAAGGAAAACCGACTCGGCATCCTTTGAAGGTGTAGGAAGAACCTCACCAAAGAGCTGGTCCGTCATGCCGGTGGTCATTAACATTCTTGTGGTATAAATCACTGACCTTTGCTCAAATGTTGGATTCCCTTGTAGCCAGAGTAATAGCATCTGCTCCTTGGCTGCTTTCTTCTCCTTTCTTCCTTTCTACCATGAGGTGTTCTGGAAAATGCTCTGGCTTGTGTTTATAAAAGAGCTAAGGGACACAGAAACCCACTCCACTCAAATGATTTAATTAGCCAGAAGTTTCTGTGCTACTGTATATGACAAATTATGGCAGGATTTTAATGGGAGACTCGGCTCAGCTCCGATTTTGTTGTTGTTGTTGTTAGTGCTTTGTCCTCTTGAGTCAGACTCCTTTCTGGTTTTATTTGGGTAGAATAAAGCTGGCAGCAGCTGCTTACAACAAAACCAGCGTAGCAGGAAGGGCTTCACTCCTGAGCAGCAAATTTTGCCTGCACTCTTCCAGCCCTGCTCTATCCCTGAGCTACTGCTACGGAGAAAAGGTGGTTTTTAGGATGACACCTTCATCAGTACTCTGAACTGAACAGCTGTGTGCTGATGCCTACCACATCTGTAGCATTTTGGAAGGGGGCTAGGCATGCAAAGCACACTGGGCTCCAGAAACCAGAAGAGGATTCAAAAAAGTCTTCCCTCCCTGCAGTTTTGGGCTGTTTCTTTCCTGTTAGCTCAGACCCGTTCCTGAAAGAGCCTTTTGTGATTGCTTCAGTGAAGCCTTTGAAGCTCCCTCCTCAGCCCTGTCCCTGCTCCAGCCTGGAGGAGGCTGAGGACATGCTCAGGTTTGGATCTTCTGAAAAGTTAAGGAGAGGAAAGAAGTTAGGAAGCAACTCCTGAGGGTAAACAGCCTTTTGGCAGATAACATTCACAAAGCACAAGCATCTTTTACTAATTGCAGGCTGTAAGGATCATCATGAAGTGTTTTCAGGCTTGCGTGCGCCATTCGAATGGCTTTTTACAAAACTATGTGACATCAGCTGCACTAAATTATGCTTGCAGAATAAAATCTAAAGCTGAAAGCAATTCCCCTACCCACTTCCCAGTGGTTTTAATCTATCCTTGAGTTTAAATTGACACGTTTCATCCTCTGCAACACAGTAGTGAGTCTTTGGCATCGCTGTGCTTTGTTTCTCTAGGGGCACCTTCCAGCAACAAGCCGATGCTTTAAAGAGCTATTGAAGGCGATGTCAGGCCAATTACAGCAAGATAGGTTTAAGCTCTCTATCTGTCTAGGTGTAGTTCTTTGTCCCTTTCTTGATATAAAGACATCTTTCTCTCTCTGTAATTTTCCTTCCCTGATTTGCTTGCTTTTGCTCTTGGGCCACAGTTGGATGTAAGTAGTCTAATATAAATCTCATCCAGTATAAATATACTGATAGATATCAGCTGAGATTTGAACCAGAAAAAGAGATTGAAAACCTGCGCAGTATCTCATGTATTTAAGATTTAAATTCCCTGTTACAACTTAACTTCATAACAGGATTAGGCAGCTTGAAAAGAATGGGCAATATCCAGATCTGGCAGAGTTTGGTTGGCTTACTTCATCTTGGGATCTGGTATTAACCCAGAAATCCTTGAGCTGGGAATGTTCTCATTTGTTTTCAGTGTGTGGAAGAGTTTAAATGCTGATTGTGAAAGGTCTGTGGTCAGCAGATGAAAGCTGACCACGCTTCCACTTCTGCCTCTTGCAAATGGCATTTAGATCCCGTGTGATTGCCTGGAGTAAAGCCTGCAAGAGAGAAGGGCGGGTGTTGAAAACATGAAGTGCAGGCTAACCTAGTTTTGTTACAGTTCATCCTTAACTGGTAAAGAAAAGAAATTCATATGACTTATCATATGAAATTTCCTAAAGAGCATTAATGGTTAAATCCTTGTTGGAATCTCTAATATCGTAAGCCTGTGTGTGTTAAATGACCCTAGAAGGGAAGATTGAAGGGGAGGGAAGAAAGAGGATTATCCCTTCCCCAGACCATTGCACTGACTTGCATACCAGTCTGGCAAGCACGGACTGAGGTTCCAGTCTGCAAATGTTTGTTTCACAAGGAGCCAAGAATGACAACACCAAATAAACCAGAGGGATTTCCAGTATCTCACCGACTTGGTTAATGTCTGCACCAAGTCACTTCATGCTCCTAGTGTTTTACCAAGTGCGGCGACTGTCCTAACCTGGGAACATTCCTTTTTATTATCCTTTAAATCTAGACACCAGTCTCAACCTAAAAAAACAATACCTTGTTGCTTCTAGAAGAGTTTCCAAGTAAGTTCTACCCCATGAGTTTATGCGCCCCAGGTTTTTCTCTCTGTTCAAAGTCCAAAGTCCCCATCACAAACCTGATGGAGAGAAGTTCTTTGAAAGTGTCATAAAAGTCTCTTTGAAAGGACATCCTAAGTAAAACACCTAATTTGGACCTGATTTTATAATACAAGCAGACTAGGGGTCATCCATGTGTCTGGAGCCCCATTTCCTTGGAGTAGTTCCTAGGGGTTCTGGACCCAAATGCTTTGCAATGCTGAACGGTGGATTAAAAGAAGTCTTTAGACACAACTACGAGACCACCCAGTATGGAAATGAGCCACTGAGCAGCCACAAATTTGCATTGAAACTTCCTTGACAGTCTGGAATGTTCAGCTGTGAAGTCGGGGTGCAGGCTCCCTGTTCTCAGAGCTCCTCTCGCCCTGTAATTGCCGCGCTGTTACAGAGATGCACCAAGTGGGATGTAGCTTTACGAAAGGTCCAACGTCGGTTCTGCATGGAACTCCATTTGTGCTGTCCTGGGTGGGCAGAGGGTGCAGTCAGACCTGACCGGACACCTGCAACAGCTGAGATTTCTGTACAGACTGTTTAGCCACAGGCTCCTATTGCCTAAAACCTGAAATGAAAGGAAATGCTCTATTCAGCAGTCTCTGAAAAGTGGGGTGCTCAGCAGTGCTGTTCTCCGGGATGCAGAGATCTACGAAGCTTTGTTAAAGTGACTTTTGCTTGCTTATCTTGCAACTAAGCTGTCTTGTCCTATGACTTTAAACCTTCTCTCTGCAAAATTCTGGCTTTAATTGCAACTTGCCCCTTTAAAGGAAAGCATGTGGATGCAATTTATGTGTAGCAAAAGAGGTTAAATGACTTCATATTTGAGTTCACCTGCTGCAGCAAGAAACCTCCAGGAGCAATTACACCCTTGTTTTTTCCATCAGCCCTTGACATTCTGTAGCACAGCATTATTTAATCTCCTGCTTCTGTGTCCTTAGAGTCACCTTCAAAATGTTTAATAAAGTTAAATGTTCTGCTCTGGGCAGCAGAAGGCATCAAATTAATATCCAGAGATTTGGAGAGCTTTCATACACTATGCTTCCTGAAGCCATCTTTGTTACTGTTGGTTGCTTTCTGTATTACTTCAAGATTTGCTTTCCATATCCTTTACTTCCTTTATACTCATTAGAAACAAACATTCTAGCTGGGATCACAGGGCAGCAGGTCAGGATGGAGACATAGATTGTGCTTTCCCTTCTCCTACTGAACAGCCAACAGCTCTGGACATGAACCACATCCAGAAAACCAACTAGTATAAAAGTTGCTGGTAAAAGAGAAGGGTTGAGTGGGCATCCAGATTTGAGGTTGGGCATGTTTTCTCCTGTTTTTTACGGAGAATTTAGGGGACTGACTCAGTTGTAGACACTCATTTCTGTTAAGACAGATGCCCTGGGCTGTTACCTCCATAGCACACATCTTTAAAATATGTTATAGCTGGGGTAAGAATTATGATTTTTATTGTTTATAGGCATCTTCTGGGTTATATGTATGCAGATGAGAGTACAGTATTTTGAGCTGACAGAGTCTGTGGACCAGAGAGGTCTGGCAGAGGGGACCAGTGGATTGGAGTTAACGTAGCTGATGCCTTCTGAAGTCGGTATTTTAATAAGAGGTGCCACCTTCAGCTGTCATCTGGTTTTGTTGTTGTTATTATTGTGGAAGTATCTACAAGTCCCTGTTGCAATCTCAGCATGTTACATTGTATTGCACTGTTCCTGCATTGGTCTTAATTCCTTTTCATATTGAGCCTTCAATGACCCTTGAAATAGGTCCTTGTGACATTCAGACCTGTTCCGGGGTCCATTCATGCTGTCCAAGTGTGCAGAAGCTCACTGATTGTTCACTTATTTGAGTGATGGTACTTGACCACGAGCTTGATGGTTTGATTTCTTCTTCTAGTTGCGACACCAGCAGTGGAGCTTGGTGATGGAGAGTGTCGTGCCATCAGATAGAGGAAATTACACCTGTGTTGTGGAGAACAAATATGGCAACATTAGGCACACATACCAGCTTGATGTATTAGGTGAGATTTCACTGTTTTCCCTCAACAGCTGATTTGTTATGACATTCAACAGGCGTGTACTGGGATATGGGAAACAGGAGCTTGGTTTCTTTCCCAAAGTGCTGGATCATGTGTTTTGGAAAACCAACACCAAGCTTCCCTTTGGCCAACAATTCAGCCTCAGATCTGTGATCAATAAATTACTCAGCAGGTCTACAGAAGGGCCAGAGAAGGAATGGCAGGGCTGAGACGCCTCTTCCATTCCCAGGTGGTTCCTCCTGGTTTGGCTTGAGAAGCACTGGGTAGAGTGGTGGCCAAGACACCTGGGGGGGACAATGCCGGTCTGCACCCTTTCTGCTGAAAACCCAGGAGATGAAGGGTTCAGAGGAGAATCCTTGCTGGAAGAAGGACAGGTAAATTAGGATTTCCCTCTTTATTTTTCAGAAAGGTCACCCCACCGACCAATCCTGCAAGCAGGGCTCCCTGCCAACCAGACTGTGGTGGTAGGGAGCAATGTGGAGTTTCACTGCAAGGTCTACAGTGATGCCCAGCCTCACATCCAGTGGCTGAAACATGTGGAAGTCAACGGCAGCAAATATGGACCCGATGGGACGCCCTACGTCACGGTGCTGAAGGTTGGTACACGTTCCTTCTTCTTGCCCTCAGGACAGGCCTTCCTCTGCCTTGGTCTCAGTGTTACAGAGATGGCAGCTGTGTTGTGGGGATGCTCCTCAAAGAAACCCACTGCCATTCTCATGGCAGGAGAGATCAGCTCTGAGTCAAGGACCTTGCTATCAGTGAAAGCCATAAACTGTATTTTCATGTTTATAAATAAGCCCTAGTGTAGCAGTGCAATGTGAACCAGAAACTCCCAACAAAATATGTTCAATGTCACAGTTTCCAACAGGGTAATCATTATTTAAATCAGATATTTGGGAGCTTGAGGTCTCATTTTCTGTAATTGTTTTGTGTCTATAAGAAAAAAGTCATGAGAATAAGCTGTTGGGATTGTTCTTTCCTTTAAGCCCGCGCAGTGAAATGCTCTGTTTTTTGGAGGGGGTACAGCGAAAATGTCCCAAAGTCGATGTTCCAAACTCCTCTGTTTGCCAGAGATAATACAACTACTGTAGTGGCACAGATAAGCAAAGTAGTTGTAAGAGCTGAGGCAACTGTGAGAAATGCAGCATAATAAAAGAGAAGTGTCAGATTGCATTTGACCTAAAATTGTAAAAATAACCTTCTTTTGCAGCTTCAATAGAGGTATTTTCAGGGCTTATTAAAATAAAAGGCTCCCAACTAAAACACATTCTTTCCTTTTCCAAGTAAACACACTGCAGCGTGCACGTACTAAATAATGCTGAACTACCAGCACCTGAGAGCCAAGATAGTCTTGTTCCAGCCACTAACATTTGTGAACATTTCTATTATCCATGCTCAGGAAAGCCTTTTTTTTTTTTTTTTTTTTTTTTTTTTTTGAAAAAAAACTCGGGCAAAGGGCACCAAGTAGAACTTAGGAATTTGCAATCCCCGCCCCGGAAAACTTTTTTTTTTTTTTTTTTTTTTTTTTTTATTGAGCAAAAACTCACTTCATAAGACTTTACTTTGCTAAAATGCTTTCATGAAAGGGAACTGCCAGATTACAGCCAGAACAAAGCCAGCGCGTCTGGTTTCCCCTCAACCTATGTAAACATTAAAAGTAGAGAGTAGAGAGAGAAAAACACATTGGACTTTTAAAATACCTTTTTTTTTTTTCATTTAACAATTAAAGGCATCCTGTGTTGGTGTTTATGAAAATATATAGGGCCAAATGGAGTTTTTTTTTCTGGCTGTGCAGTTACAGCTGAAAGCAGATCTTGTCCCTGCAGTTTCAAGCTGAGGTTGTCCTGTGCATGGACATTCCCTGTGCACATCCTGCTGCACACACCCTTCTTCCCTTTGTATAAAGGTTTTTAAAAAAAAAAAACCACTTATCAGACAGCATCTACAAAACTGTAACTCAGCCAGATACATGATAATAAAAGCCAGAGACCCTGGAAATAATTACACAGATTGAAATAACAGATTGGTTGGAAGAAATGGCTCGAGACAGCTCTTCAGGATTGGCAACACGCGCTTCTCGCGAGTTGATAAAACTTTTTATTTTCTCACTGGCTCTCCAAATGTGTTTGAATTATGCATATTTGAATTTCCCCCTGGTTTCACAGCCCAGTACCAAGCTCTGAATAGCTGGCTGTGTCACATGCCATCTAGTATAGTCTCCGAGCTCCGTGTGTGGTCCCTGTGGGATAAAAGTGCTACCTTTTGGAAGTTTGCAGAGCCGCTGCGAACAGTGCCTTGTGTCACAAGCACAAGCTCCCATTTTGCTGTGGCAAAGAACATATAAATAGTCCATATAAATAGCGTTTTAAAATTAAGTTGGAGCGGCACCGGGGTGGCTAGGTAATTAGAATTGCCAAATACCTTCTCTTCTGTGGACGGCAAAGGCTCCGCATTCCTCGAAGGGGAGCACAGGCAGGCGTTTGAAAGCACAAGTTTTGTTTGGTTTTATTTTTTTGCTGAATAGGACCAGCACACGTCTATTTACTACTTCTGGTTAATCAGGAATGCTTTGAATTGTATTAATGCCGGCATCAGCTCTGGGGCACAGAGCATTTCCATTTTGGGATGCATCTTTTGTGCTGGGCCTCCGTGGAGCTGTGTCAGGCCCAGCTTTGCAGGGATTTTTTTTTTTTTTTTTTTTTTTTTAAGAGGAATGCTTTGAATTGTATTAATGCCGGCATCAGCTCTGGGGCACAGAGCATTTCCATTTTGGGATGCATCTTTTGTGCTGGGCCTCCGTGGAGCTGGGTCAGGCCCAGCTTTGCAGGGGTTTTTTTTTTTTTTTTTTTTTTTTTTAACGTATGTGTACTTGTGTTTTGAAAAAGCAGATCTGATGACACAATCTCACCCTCATCTTGGGGCCAGTCCGTTGGCTTTATGGACTCGTTGCCCTCGTGCCACATGGTGCTGTTGCTTTCACCCAGCATCCTTGGCCACGCTGCTGGAGCAGGGCCCTGTTAACAGCCCTGCCCTGCCCACAGCTGCTGTCAAAAAGCCTCTCTCCTTCCCAGTGCTACGGTGCCTGCAGGGAGATAAGGCTTTTTTATCAGCCTGCCCTTCTTCCCTCCTGCTTTCAGGAGATTTTGCAGAGTGTAGAAGCTGCTATGGGGCAGTTTATGTATCAGGAGTATTCTGGTCTTCATCGGAGCGAGGGGAACAGAGAGGTGCCCAGCACATGAAATTCTTCCCTCACATCTAAATGAGTTGGGGACACAGAACCCACCCCAGTCCAGATGGATAAATTGAATGCTTTTTTGAAAACCCATTTTTTAAACAGCCTGACAAAACCAAGCCATCACCTGCATCAGTTCCTGAAAGCCTGGGCTAATTTGTGATCAAAGGAAACCCCTTTTTCTTTGCAGAAGAGCACTAAATGCATTCCAGTTACGGAGGGAGGGCTGGCAACACTGTGCCCAGGCTTTGTCAAAGACTAAATTGTATGTTCTGCATTGAAACGTGCCCGGTTTAATTATAAACAAGGCAGCAACAGCAGGCAGGCACGTTTCCCCACTAGTCAGGACAGCCAAGCTTGCCAGCATATGAATCTTTGAGATGAGATCAGGTCAGAAACGGTGGTAGTGTCATCAGACATGGACATTGGGGTTCCTCACTGATGCCACCTCTGGGTTCAGTTCCTAATTACCTATCAGGTCTCACAGCCCTATTGATTTTAATGGGCTGCAAGTCCTATGGGCAGGATCAGGCCCTGAAATCAAAGGCACTAAGATTGGGGCTGAGAGGCTGACACCAAAAATGAGAAGACCAGTTGTTTTATTTTAATTTCCAGAGCTGAAGCTGGTATTTTTTCTAGACTTTCCCTAGGCTCCTTCTGAGGCCACCCAAACCAGTTGTGCATTTTCAACCAAAATAAAAACAACTGTTTAGGGAACAGACTCATGTGCTGTTGTGACAGCGTGGAAGAACAGAAATAAAACCCTTGCTTAACAGTCTGAAGTTTGTTTGATTTATATGCACCACTTTATTTAGTAAAGAAGAGGCTCCTATAAGCAGTGGAAAAAATTACAGCTAATTTCTGAAAGGCAAAGTCAGCAGCGAGTTTCAGACCGCCACTGCTTATATTTTGTTTCCAAATGCTATTTTGGAATCCGATAATTGAAACAGTATTTGCTGAGCCGGGTTGCAAACACAAATCTCTGCCTAAGCCCTTTCTCTTGTGCTCCTGTCTGCAGAGCTGTTAAGAAACTGTAGGGCCTTTGACTGCTGTCAGATGGAGAAGTGGGAAATTGGTATGTTTTAAAAAAGAAATCACATGAGTTGGTCTGTTTCAGAAAAGAAATCGCGTGTGTGCTGGTAGTGAAGGGAAGGGAGTTCACTCCTACATGGTTTGGGGGCCAAATGCAAGTTCTCGTCTTCGCCCAGGCCCTGGGTTAGGTCTCTCACCACAGGGTGAGCCGGGGATGTTGCCACAGCCGAAAAGAAAATAGCCAAGAACAGTCAATCCTAGCTAATGTAGATGTGATGGAGGTATTGTTTGGTTTACTGAAGTTCAGGTTTCTGTCTATTCCTGCAGTCTTGGATCAGTAAAAACGCTGAAGCCGATGCTAACCTAAATCTGTTCAATGTGACAGAACAAGATGAAGGAGAATATCTGTGTAGAGCCAACAATTTCGTAGGCATAGCCGAAAAACCATTTTGGCTCCACATTCGCAAACCAAAACCAGGTAAACCACAGACTCTGTCCCAAGGCCCTGGCAACTGCAAGAATGAGCTATAACATTTTTAAGAAGCTAGTGATTAAAATTACTATTCATTTTGTATTATACCCTGTCAACTGACGCTGAATGGCTTTATCTTATTTCCTTGCTAATTTTTTTTTTTACAAGAATGTAACGCCTATACAGCAATTGCCATGGAAAAATTCCCACAATAAAATGACTGTCAAATTTTGCTATCAACTCTTCACGCTTTTATTCCTTTCCCTTCCTCACAATTGAGTGCTGATAACAGAATTGCATGTTAATGACCTGTGACGTTCAAAGCTCTGGAAAACCAAGCTGTTTCAAGATTTTCACCCGTAAAACTGATATAATCAGCATATAGCTTTCTGTCCCTTGGAGAAGTAATGGAGAAATAAATACCAACATTGGCTCATGCGAGCAAACATGTTAAATAGAAAGCAGCAGCAATCTCCTGGGCTCTGGGGTTTGACTCCAGCCTGGAGGGTTTGGCTGCTGTGTTGCTCAGTGCCACTGTGGGAAAGTTCCCTACAGGCACCTTCTTGTAATCGACCAGAGTTATATCACAGCATCAAGGGCTGTGTAATCGATATACAGCCTTGAGTTGCCCACTGAAAACATCATAAAAAATTCTAAAAATCTATATTTTTTGATTAACTAATGAATCAAAATGTTTGGATGTTCCTCTGATCAGCACTTGAGTCTTTCCCCACTACATCTCCCCTCCTTTCTCCTTTCTTTCTGTCTTTTCTCTCCTCTTTTACCATCTTTTTTCCCCACCCCTGTACTCACCCTACTAACCCAAAGTCAGTCATATTGTGGGGGCAATTTTTCATTTGGATGCTTTTGCTTGCATGCTTCTTTAGTGGGACAGAGTAAGAACCTGGTGAAGGGAACTTTTTTTGCTTTTGACTACAGGTTGCAAAGGGGAATGAATAAATAAATGTGGAAGATGGGCCATTGGAAAAAAAAAAAAACAATCCACCTTAATCTGCTTTTGAAATTTGCCTGTGGTGTCCTCACACTTGCTGGGAATGTGGCTTATTCTCTGTTTTCCCTCTATGTGTGTGTTTTTTTTTCCCCCGTAGACGGCAGGTGTTAACACAACGGATAAGGAGCTAGAGATTCTGTACTTGCGAAATGTTACTTTTGAGGATGCTGGGGAATATACTTGTCTCGCAGGGAATTCTATTGGGTTCTCACATCACTCTGCTTGGCTGACGGTGCTACCAGGTATTTCCTTCTGTGCTGGCCTCTCCTTCTCTCTCTAGGGTGCCTTGACATTTTGCTTTAGAAATGCCAAGTTCCTGCAAACTGCCCTTTGCTTGGAAAAGGGTGCGTTATCTAGGGGGGGCTCTCCTCTGGGATTTGCTCTGCCAGTGGTAAATCCACGCAGCAGAAGACCTCTGTTGCATATTCACAGCTGACACTTTTTGCGTTGCATCTCAAGATTCAAATTATTTTTGCAGTAATGGTACATAATGCCCAGTATCTTTTTTTTTATCTAGATAACAAGGAGGTGTTCACAGCCTCTTTTTTAGGAGACTGTTAAGTGTCAAAATGGGGAACTTTGTCTTACACTGCCAGTGAGAGAATGAAACCTCCCCATTAGATTATCCAGGGCAGCTAAATTGGATATGGACTGTGGATCATCTTATGAAGGAACCTTTCTGTCTAATCTCATATCTTAACCTGAAATTAGATGCATAAGTGGTTGGTGTGACTACACCCTTCCCTGCCTATAGCATTATTTCCGCTTCACGGATGAACAGGCCAAGATAGCAATCTCAGACAGAAGGTCGAGGAGAGTCATCTGTAGAGAGAGCCCAGGAGTCCTGGCTCCCAGGGGCATTGCACACTGCCTGCTCCAGCTGGGACCCATGAAAGCTGCAGTGGGCTTGACACCCGAGGCCAGAGTGACCTCAATTTTGTGGTCCTTTCATGTGCAAACCTCTCACTGACAATGAAGCCAGCGCAGAATATGCAACAGAGGGGTCTGCTCTCCAAAAGAGGGCAATGAGGCTGTACTCTCCCTTCACCTGCAGAATCTGCCTCTGGCTATGATGGAGGCATAACCAGCTTCCAGGAAAGTACCAGAAATATTCGTATTGAATCTCACGGGTGCTGTCCCTTGCAGAGAGTGCAGGAACAGACCTGGAGTATGTTCAGTATACCTTTACTGAAAGGACAACCAAAACTCGATACACCCCACTTTGGCTCACCTGGTCACAGACCACATTTGGGTCCACCTTGCAACACATCCATCTCAGGATGTGTTTAGGAACCGGAAACTTTGGCATTTCTAATCTTTACTTTATCTATGTGGGTGATTCTGGTGTAACTGCTTTTACTGGGGCTCAAGAGGGTCTCCTCCATGCTCAACCCTGCAGTAAGTGGGTTCTGCTGGCTTTTTGTCTGTTTATTTGCCAGCTCTATAATAGCTGATCTGATCCTATTTCTGCTTCTGCCATCCACTGGATGAGAAGTCGTTTCCTTTGGTTAGAAGACTAATGTTTCTGTTATTTTGAGAATCTCCTGATACTGTCTCATCCAACTATGCTGGTTTTTTGTTGTATGAACTCAAACCTCTTATTTAATCAAAGAAGAAGCAGAAGAAAAAACACTAAAAAAACCTGAAGTGGAACTTTATATTGAAGTCAGACGCAGTGAAGGACACCCCCTGTGCAGCAGCAGGCCCCGACTCGCTGCCCACAGAGAGGGTGCAGAACACAACCCGTCTGGGGAACCTCTACTTGTAGATCCCTGTCCACTCTAAGGGAGGAGAGGCGTGGAGCAGAGGGCGAGACGGTGTGAGCCAAGGCAGCAAAGCTCTGGCACCAACCATAGAGCCTGATCCCGGGAGATCTGGTAACCCTTCCCTGCAAAAGGAGATGGCTGCTTGGCAGGATGAGGCCCTGCACATCTGGCACACAGGCTGGTGCAGCCCCCAGTGTCACCAACAGCCCTTTCTTCATGTCCCCTTGGACACAGCCATGGAAGACCTGATTCGGAGCCTGCTGCTGCCAGGGGAAAGCTCCTGCTGCTTGCTGAAGGTGCTGCTTTGGGGCAGCAGTGATGTACATGAGCCATTAGCAAGCTCACCCCAACAGCATGACTTCGTTATGAAGTTTCCCACTGCTGACTGTTCCTCTGACACTGGCCCACTTTTGGACCAGAAAACTCGTTCCCACGTTGGCCCCTTCCTCTGGTCTACGTGCCTGTCCTGCAGGGAACAAGGGGAGAATCACAGCTGAGCTTTGCTGGTCCCAAAAAAGTCTTTTCTAGTAGGTGGCCACTGCTGATGGGGTCATGCCATCATCCTCACAGCTCAGCCACCTCTCAGGGCCAGACCTTCCAGCCTCTTCCCAGCAGAAGTAAGTTTTCACGAAATAGTTATGCAGATGATTGCTCTCCTGAGGCTTTTCCCCTGTGTAATGCCTTACCCCTGGGTGCCCTTCGAGCCTCTTGGTCCCTCAGGGCAGGCACTGGTCCAGTGGGAATTGTTGCTGGAGAACCAAATCAATGAAGTGCAGCAAACCCCAGTCCTGCAGCCTTTGCACATCCGAGGCATCAAGCTATGTGGTGTGGATGTGTGGGGAAAGCAAGATCTGGGTCAGAGGGACAGCACAGACATGTGAAGATGCCTTCAGCCTAGAGCAGTGGTTTTCAACATGTGGGCTGAAGGCTCTTAGAAACCCCAGGGCTGCATCCAAAGGCAGTAAAATTATCCCCCCAAAAGGCAAGGTAAACTAATGCTACAGCCGCAAGTAGAAAACCACTGGCCTAGGAGAGTCCCCTCACTGAGGTCACTCAGAAAATTGATGTAGATGAGCAAGTCCTCCCCATGTTCTTTGCACTGCGTGTGTGTAGTTGTGTGCGGGCAGCTGCCTGCCCCATCCTGACTGCTGTCTCTTGTCACCCTGCAGCAGAGGAGCTCATGGAAATGGATGATTCAGGCTCGGTGTACGCTGGCATTCTCAGTTATGGCACTGGCTTTGTTCTCTTCATCCTGGTGCTGGTCATTGTGATTATCTGCAGGATGAAAATGCCAAACAAAAAAGCCATGAACACCCCCACTGTACAGAAAGTCTCCAAATTTCCACTCAAGAGACAGGTAACAGAAAGTAGATACAAGATTCCTATTCCCCGCTATGGTCATCCCTCTTTCCCCCGCCCTCCCTCCTTGAAATTTTCTCTCTAGGCGAGAAGCTCTACCAGAAAAACATTGCCCTAGAGGGATATAAGTTGGCTGCAGTCTAGGAGTTTAACCCCTTTTATTCATTTGTTTCTGTTCCAGTAGAGCAGTAGCTGGTGGCAGCTGACTCTGGTTCATGAGCAGCTCCCAAGCAGCTGTGTTTCTGTCGCCCTTGTCCAAGAGGGGCTGGCAGTGCAGCCACGGATGTCACAGAAGCACATCTTGCAGGGGAACAGTTTAGTCGAGGCTCCCTGGGTGGAGCAGGGATCTGTGGGACAAAAGCATGCTTAATTGTGCTCGGTCCTGCTTTCACGGAGGTCACTGGTGAAGCAAAAACAATTCTCATGGAGGTGGGAGAAGGTCCTCCTCCATGCAGTAAGTGATGCTGTGCCATGTGTAATTGCAGGGGGGCAGGAGCAAAGGGCCACATAGTAAGTAAAACCACATAGTGAAGGGTACTGATTTCACAGCTTTGGCTGCAAGCTCGTAGTGGACATTTACAGTGCCAGAACAGGAGAAGTCTCTCCATAGCCTGTACGTGCTATTCAGGTGCACACAGAGCAAATGAACGGATTATACCTCCTGCCTGCTGGAGGGTTCTGGCTAACCTGTCCCTCCTTTCCACCAGCTAAAAACCTGACCACAAGTGCCTAGATCAACGCATTTCTGCAAGGATCTGGGGAGAGGTGGAGGGTGGAGGGGATTTCACATTTAGAAATTACCAGAAAGGTGTCAGTGGGGAAAGATAGCTCAAACCCCCTCAGTGATCCATCTCAGGCACTGCCTTTCACAGGAATACAGTTGGCAATAACACTTCATTTGCTCTACCCAAGCAGGTGTCATTGGAGTCCAACTCTTCCATGAATTCCAACACTCCCCTGGTCCGGATCACGCGTCTCTCCTCCAGCGACGGGCCGATGCTGGCCAACGTCTCTGAGCTGGAACTGCCTCCTGATCCCAAGTGGGAATTGGCACGATCTCGGTCAGTCAACCCACAGGTTGGGGTCCCCTTGCTTCCCAAGAGTGTCACCACCCCAGTACCCTCTAACGTCTGCTTGTTCCTCCCTCCAGCCTGACCTTGGGGAAGCCGCTTGGCGAAGGGTGTTTTGGCCAAGTGGTGATGGCAGAAGCAATTGGGATTGATAAGGACAAGCCAAACAAGGCCATCACAGTTGCTGTCAAGATGTTAAAAGGTATGGGGAGTCCACCAAGGGCAGAGTAGCATAGTGCACTGGGATTTCCTCTTGTTCCTTCTCCTATACAAACGGATACAATAGAATAAAGCAAGAACAGCCTTTCTTCCTCTTCACCCCCATAGCCTTGGGGGTGAGGTCTATCTCTTTGGAGAGCATGTAAAGGTGCAAATCCTATCAGGAAGAGGGAATGGGAATTAACCCAGTTCTTTGCCAAGGGGTAATAGCATTCCTGAGAAGAAGGGGAACCCCCTTCACTTCAAGCCAACTCTGTGAGTCAGCCCACTCCTTACTCCTCCCATAACCAGCGCTGCCTGTTCTAGCAATACCTTGTGCAACAAGCTCCAGCGCAGAAATTCAGTTGACTCTTATTGAAGAGTGTCTTCATTGAAGAAACTTGATCCCAGACAAGTTGAGGGGAGGGTTAAAGGGAAGCCAAAGTGGGGAATTCACTGGACACCTCTGCGTGAGTCTCATTTCCCATCTTTCCCCTGCTCACAGTAACCACAGACAACACACAGACAAAATCACCCTGAGGAGATCAGCTGGAGCAAGCAGGGCAGATGCTGCAACAGTCAGCATCCTGGGTTTGAGGTTAATGGGGTGACATCTTTAAAAAAGAATATTTCTTATCAGAAAAGGATTAATTTAATTTACATTTCCTTCAGTCCATTCTGAAGTTCGTTTTAGAAGTAGTAACATTTTCATCTTTCCAAACCAAAGCATTCATTTGTGGAGGTTTTCCCCCATTTTTCTACTTTTGTAGAAAATGGAGGGGGGTTTTGTACTTATGTAGAAAAATTACAGCTTTCCATGCAAAAACTACATTCCTTCCTCTAGCCACTTTGCCAGCTTTGACCTTCCCCAATCCTTTACTCTTTGGCTCTGGAGATGGAGGGAAACAACTGGAAAAATAAAATGGTCCTGGGTACCAAAACTGACTTTTTATCTTTAATGCTTATCAGGAAATAGAAAGATGAAATAGAAGATGAAAGGTTTTATGGATTTCCATATGAATATTTCTCTCCATTTGTCTGGTTTTTTCTTCTTGAACAAGTATTCTTTTTTTTTCTTTATAGTAGTTTTTGGTTTTACTTTGATTCTTTTTCCTCATGTAGAATAAATGCAAATACTGCCGTATTTTGAGTACTGTTTTCCTGTCAAAGCCCCAGATGGCTATGCAGCAGTTGTATTAACTACTTCACAAAAGACTTATTTTCTTCCTGACATTTTTTTGCTTTCTTCGCTTGCTTTCTCCAGATGATGCCACTGACAAGGACCTTTCAGACCTGGTCTCTGAGATGGAAATGATGAAAATGATTGGGAAGCACAAAAACATTATTAATCTCCTCGGTGCTTGCACGCAGGATGGTATGTAGCAACAAAGCTTGATATTTGCAGAGTGGTGGCAGGCTCAAGTTGGACTGTCCTTTCTGTGTAATTACTCGCTAGCTGTCCAGAATGCTCTAGATGAGATTTTGGTGGTCAGCTGTTCCTCTGCTGGATGCTGATGGTGCTCTTTCTTGCAGGACCACTCTACGTGTTGGTGGAATACGCGTCGAAGGGAAACTTGCGGGAATACCTCAGGGCACGTCGCCCACCTGGCATGGACTATTCCTTCGACACCTGCAAGCTGCCCGAGGAGCAGCTGACATTTAAAGACCTGGTTTCCTGTGCCTACCAGGTGGCCCGGGGCATGGAGTACTTGGCGTCTCAGAAAGTGAGTTGAGAAACCTCATTTTGTAGAAGCATCGGTCAGGCCTGTGTGTTCAAAGGCATGCAGTGCTCTGTGTGTGTGTGTGTGTGTGTGTGTGTGTAGGACAACCCAGACAAAGCATTACATACCTCTCTCTTTAAAGACCAGATTTTTGTATGAAGAGTCTTGGGTTTTTTGCAGAAAGCTTCAGCTATATGCAGAAGCTCCTGTGCAGCTGCACAGCCCTCACGGTCACCTGCAGGCCTGTTAGCATCCCCAAAATGCATACAAAAGCACAAGCAACCCAGTGCCTGTCCTCACCAATTCATCCTATGCCACTCATAGAGGTAACTGGCTTTCAGATGTGTGATCCTAAGGCTTAGGCAGGAGTAGTCAGGGTGAGCATCACACCAAGTTGTGAGCTTCCAGCATGGGAGACGTTACTTCAGACAAGAGTCAGGAGCTGTGTGCACCACTGCCCCCCCCCATCTCCCTCCTGAGATCGCTAAAAAGATGCCGAGCACCCATGAAGAAGCTGAGATCTTGGGTGTAGCTCATGTGTTTGTGGCTGTCACCAGCTCGTGTAGGCTCGGTGGGAGCAGAGCTGGCAGTGAATTTGGCACGATGTATGGCCATGCCCAGGATGCTGCCTGTGGAACACTTTGCTGACACTGAACTGGCTGCTGTGTTTTCTTATGTCATACCCTGGGATTAGTCCTCATTGACCCCGACATCAGCAAGTGGAGAATCAGGCTTTGGGTTCATGAAGCTGCCGACACGGGCTCTTTTCACAGGCAGGGAGCACTGCAGCGAGACCAATTTCAGCTTCAGATGTTAAATGTCTTGGTCCTGTGACTGCAGTTCAGGGTGGATGATTCGTGATGGCTTTAAACTCTTTTTCTGCACAGTGCAGGCTAATTTAAATTCTTTCTCAGCTAACAACTATGACGTATTTTGGATGTCTTGGGAATGTCTTAATTTGAGGATTTTTTTTCCTTCAAACATCAACCTGCACTCCTCTCCCTGGAGGAAGCAAGGCAGAAAGACAGCTTCACGTCCCAGTAGGCACCCACAGAAGAGAAGGGTTGGGTTTTTCATCTCTGCATCCCCTTTGGAGAGAACAGGCACGTGGCTGGGTCAGCGCTGAGGCTGCCGATTAGGTGTTGCTAAGAGGTGGCTCCCACCGAGCATGCATGATGGGGCAGTGACACAGAAAGCGAGGAGTTAAGCAGTGCCCACAGCTTTATGAGCTTGGGAGTCAATGAAATGGCAGCTCATAAACCACACGGTGCTGTTGGTTCCAGGCGCGAGCAGCTAACAAGCCCTTATTTATTGACTTGCTCACCTTTCACAGTGCATTCATCGCGACTTGGCAGCCAGGAACGTGTTAGTCACTGAAGACAATGTGATGAAAATAGCTGATTTTGGCCTCGCTAGAGACGTTCACAACATCGACTATTACAAGAAAACCACCAATGTAAGTAGAGAGCTGCCAAGCACGTGCAGTTCTCCCTCTGGCAGGGAATTCGGCCACCTCTGCAGCAAGTGGCCCTTGTCGCACATCTCCCTTTCTACAGGGGCTTAGGAGGAAGAAATCTACCAGTGGCTTCACCTAGTGAGGGACTGTAGAGGCTGTTCCCAGGAGTCCACCCACAACCTGTTTTCTTCCTGACAGATCCTGCTGTTGCTAGCAGCTGGTTGTGAGGTCTCAGCTCTGGCCAGGGGGATTTAGACTAAGAGAAATCAAGTATTTACCAAAGGGGAATTGAGCCCTTTCCAGTCCGCTGCACTACTGTTCATAAAGCTCCCGGGGAGCCACCCTCTGGTCCCACCAGAGCCCTTGGCAGAGGAGTGTTACTTTTTCTATTTCTGGAGCTTTCCTGCATTTCTCTCTCTGTTTTACAACTGAGTTTCTTGACTCTACTACCAAGGGTGAGAAGATAATCCCAGCCAAGGGCTGAGTCCTGGAGCCTATTATATCTTCTGTAGAGATTAATTTAGGAACGAAGGGCTAGTGAGACAATCTATGTCCATGGTTCAAAGCCCTGCAGCAGATGCTGAGCTCTGAGCAGTCCATGGGACATCCCACCCCATCACTGCCATGCTGCAGAGAACAAAACACATCCCAGTCCTCTGCAGGAAAAGAGCAAAAGCCACAAGTACAACATAGTGTGGAGATTGCAGTGGAAGAGATTGAGGGTATTGCAGAACCTGAGGGTCCTGCAACGGCAAGGGATCTAAATGTCTAGGCAGTCCTACAAAGCCTACCATGCCCATACTGATCCTTTCCAATATCATATCAGAAATCTCTCTTAATTGTCACGATTTCTTAATCATAAATTAATAAAAACTCTTGGGAATTTTAATCATCAATGAGATGGATTTTCCCTGTTTGAGCTATGTTGCACAGCTGAGAGGATAAGCCCATTTGTGCATCCTGGATATATCCCATCTCTAGTTGTCTCCCCCAGTGAGATAGTGGGTCAGAAGAGGACTAAGCCCTCCCTTAGCCAAATTATGCCTCAAGCATGAAACTCTCCCCAGGGGCCAAGCAAAACCCAAAAGAATTATGATTAGCCTAGTCTTTCTCATCTCATATTTCTCATATGTGACAGCCCATATTTATGATCCTGAGGTAGGATGTTCCCCTGGAAACCTGGGAGGAGGCATCATCCTTTAGCCTTCAGCAGGACCACGATTTGACTCTTAGAGGATCTGGCCCTTGCCTTTGCTCTTGGAAGTTTCCCTCCAAGTTCAGCCTAAGCAGGGTTTGGACTTGGAGTCAAACTGCTTCTTCCAACCGAAGAGATGGCAAGTGTTGTCCCATGCTCTGCTGCAGAGCTAGCTGCATTTATGAGCAGTGGATGCTGTTCCCATGCAAAGATTTAGATGCTCTGATATGTTAAACCTGCCTTGGCAGTGAAATACAGTCCTCTACAGAGAGCATTTACTGCAAAGATTGTCAGCAAAGATCCAGGGATCAAATGCTCTAATCTGTTTATATGTGGCCACTGCTGCTTTGTCCAGTGACCGGGAAGGCAGATGTGGTTGTTAATGAAAATGTTTCAAACTGGATTAGAAAAGAAGATTCAGATGGTGCCGTTGTGGCTGGGGGAATATGCTGATGGGATGTTCCCATTGTCTTCCTAATTACAGGGTCGGCTGCCTGTGAAATGGATGGCTCCAGAAGCCTTGTTTGACCGGGTCTATACTCACCAGAGCGATGTGTAAGCATACCCGCACTTTATTAAAAAAAAAAACAAAAAAGACAGGGAAATCAACACCTATAGTATCTTAAAGACAAATGGATTGCTAAGCACGAGCAGGGCTCGTTCACTGCTGGGGTGCCTGGGGATGCAAAAGCAAATGAATCGATTCCAAGCTGCAGCTTTGCGCACGTGGTTTTATTTTACCGTTATCATCTAGTTGCTTTCATCCAAGGACCTCTAGTGAGCTGCTGAAAAATTATTGGAAGGCAGGCAGGTATTTCTTTTCTGGTTTATAGATGGGGTGATTCATCCTGCAGTCAAAAAAAATTGTGCAAAAAAAAAACCCTCCGTGCAAAAAAATAAATAAATTACTCTCGGCTTCCTCCGCACTTTGCCCCAGACAGTTATGCTTCAGTTGCTTGAAATGTGGGATGAGCTTGAAATATTCCGTCTGCTGTTAGTAGAGTTGATCAGAGAATATTCAACAAATATATTCTCGGATTAATTTTGCGGCTTCATTTATTTGTCTTTTATTTTTCCTAATCCTGTCTTGTCTGTTTTAGTGCCTCTGCACGGTAAGCAAACAGCAGAGCCCGACTCACGTATAAATCCGTATCATGTCTGAACTTTGCGAGGGCTGAAGTAGCTCAGTGCGCACACACCAGCTTTTTATTTCAATATTTGGTCAATAATGGCATTTTTACAGTAATTCAGCAGCCAGCATGCCTGCTCCCCAAAGCTCACCGCTTGCAATTGGACAAATGAACCTTTTCTATTTCTGTGTTTTTCACATACTTTGGCTTTTATTGATCTTAAATCATAGTTTCCATGCTTAGGTAATGCTGCAGCAGGCATGACAGATAAATCAAAGCTAGAGAACAAGAGAGCAAGCGTGCGTGAAAGCGAAACAGAGACAGATAATCCCTGTTTTTAAAAAGAAAATGAAGAAGGCAAAAGATATTTTTGAAAAAGAGGACTTTTAACCAGAGCACAGCTGCAGGACTGGAGTGTGTAACATTAGCGCTCCGCTGATTTTTGTTGGGGTATTTTTCTCCCAGCTTGGCCAGTGAAATGAGTGTTGTAACAAGCAAGTTTTGGTATCAGCTTGCACAATTAGTGGCCTGTGGTTCCAAGCCTGCAATTCAGTGAAGCTGTGCATGAATAATTTGATTTGTTCCATTCAGTGGAGCTGGTGGAAGACCTAACAAAGAGCTGGGGGTAATAGATGGGCTGTCACCTATCTGATTAAATGCTCATTTCAATTTCAGACTTGGTGCCTGGGATTTCTTTGCTATTGAGTTGGATCAGCAGAGATCTCCAAGTAACTAGTAAAAATGGCCTAGGCAATTAGTCATGCTATTGATGACTTTGTTAGCTATGCATGGCTGCACAGAAATAAAGCCAAGCAGGGGGGAGGGGATATGGGGGGGCGCTTAGAAAAAAAACCTCATTGAATTTTAAAGATCTTTCTTTGGTTTCCAGCTGGTCTTTTGGAGTGCTACTATGGGAGATCTTCACTTTGGGAGGGTCTCCGTATCCGGGAATTCCCGTTGAGGAACTCTTCAAACTCTTGAAGGAAGGCCATCGGATGGACAAACCCGCAAACTGCACCCATGACCTGTGAGTGCATGGTGGGGGGTGACCTCCTCTCCCCACTCCACCTTCCCTCTGTGGCCAAATGCCACTCCAGGCCATGGTTCAGGCTGGTGGGACATTCCCACTGTGCGACTGTGGGGCCGGCAGCAGTTAGGTTCACCCACCCTGACGTATTTTGGCTCAGCTCATGACATAATGCATCTACCCTCATTTGGTGGGTGACAGTTGGGAGTGAAGCTCTGGTGTGTTGTTTTTAGGCCAGTTCCTTCTCCTACTTCAAGACCATGTACATGTGTGAGGTGATCAATAAACAAGGAGTGTGGCTCCACAAAACCCTTCTCCTCTCTGCAGCTGGTGGCCCCACACCAAGACCACCATGTCTGAAGTTGCCTTGGCCTTAGGTGTTCTCTAAGGCAATTTGGGTGTGGGTGGGCAGGTGGATGAGCACTGCTTAGCCCCACCATGGTTGACAGTCCCCTCTCCCCTCTCATGCAGGTACATGATCATGCGGGAGTGCTGGCACGCTGTCCCCTCGCAGCGGCCCACCTTCAAGCAGCTGGTGGAAGACCTGGACAGGGTCCTCACCGTGACGTCCACCGATGTGAGTGTGGTAGGGTGGGCACGGGGAGGGGTCACTCGGTCCCCGGTGAGGGACACCCAGTGTTAATGGGCCTATCTCCCTGGCAGGAGTACCTGGACCTCTCGGTGCCCTTTGAGCAGTACTCACCGGCCGGCCAGGACACCCACAGCACCTGCTCCTCGGGGGATGATTCGGTCTTTGCACATGACCTGCTGCCCGACGAGCCCTGCCTGCCCAAGCACCCTCCCTGCAACGGCGTCATCCGGACGTGAGGACACCCCGGGCAGACGGATGGACAAACGGACAGACGGGCAGTGTGCCCACGGAGGCGCGAGGGTGGGGCGCCGAGGACGAAACCGTAGTGAAGGATCTTCCAGTGGAACTGTTTGGTGGTGCCCAGAGATATGTGTTGTTGTCAAGCTGTTCAGGGTAAAAAAGAAAAAAATAACTTTTTTTTTTTGTTCTTTGATATTTTTTTTTTCCCATTTGCTGTATAAAAAGTCAAGAAGCACTGTTTGGCCTGAAGGAACTAATCTCTTGCCAAGATGATTTCTCATATATAATTTTTTTTTTTTGGTTTATTTTTCATTTTGGTTTTTTTTTTTTTTTTAAACTAAGCAGAATGTTGAACTTGGGGGGTGCTGACCTCCCAGCCTCCGTGCTTGTGATTCGAGTGCCAGAGTAGCCATTCTGTGCCTGCAATACGAAGAAGAGGAAAAAAAAATCTTCCTTTTTTAAAAAAGAAAAACACAGACAAAAAAAAAGTGTAAAGAATGTAGAAATTCTTTGCTTATGCAATCTGTACATGAACCTTTTTGGTGGAGCTGAAAAGCCACGTTGCCTGCAGGGATTCATATATTTATAAAAATATCTATATTTTTATTGTCGTCGTTTTTATAGCTTCATGATCTTATTACCCAGCTACATAGAAGGAATCCTTTTTGGAAGAAGAAAAAAAAAAAAAGAAGTAAAATGCAAATCATCATGGAGAAAGAAAAAGAAAAAAAAAAAGATAAAAAGAGACAGTCAAGTCTGAAATGGCGGTGCTTTGGCCAGGCTCGGTGGCCGCTGGCCCTTGCACTGGGCTGGGAGCGATGGGTCCATGCAGAAGCAGGAGAAGACCCTGGGGATGGGCAGAGACCCAGCAGTGGCCATAGGGGTCCCCGGGGAGGAGACCGTCATCCATCTGAGACCGACGGGGGACCTGGCTCCTGGGTGCCCACACGGCATCTCAAGCTACATCCTGACCTTGGGAACAGCCGTTTTTGGGGAAAAAAAAAAGATAAATTGCTTTTTGGGGTTTGTATAATTTTGCTTGCCAAGGGGGAGGGGGAGGGAGCAGCTCCTCCATCCACCCCCCCCCCCTTTTTTGGGAAAGCCGAAGTGAGGCGGGGGAGGGAGGGGAACCTGCCCGCCGGGTCTGCCCAGCTCCCCGCCCCCCCCCTCCCCCCCCCCCACCCCCCCCCCCCCCCCCGATGCCAGCAGTTTGGCTCCATCTACATGCAGTGACTCGGAGAAAGAAGTTACGGGTACCTGTAGGCAAGAGCCTTTAACTTATATCAAAAAGGTTTATTCCAGAGAATCTGTGTATATATCTATAAATATATCCTGTATATATATAAATAAATATATTAAAAAAAAAAAAGAATGTATAATACTAATGCAACATAAAGCAGTACTGAGAGAGTCTCAAAATACGAGCATTGCAATCTAGGATATACTGATCTGGGCAAAAGAAAAGATTTTTGTTTGTTTGTTTGTTTTATATCTTCACAGTTTTGTTTTAAAAATTGTACCTTAACATGTATATTTGTAAAGTTATTTATAGACATTAACATATCTGTTCATTGGTTTAAATAGCATAGCATTACTGTAAACTTTAAATTTCACCGAGTTTAAGGGTGGGTTGTTTTTTTTTAACTTATTAAAAATCGAGAAAAATATATTAATCAAGTCTTTCTTTTGTGTTTATGGGAAATATTGAAAGAATGTATAGGTGTACAGTCCTTTAACAAATTACATTTAATGTTATAAATATATATATGTATTCATTTAAAAAATATTAGTTTATCCTGGATTGCAGTGAGCAAAGGTAAGTTTATTTTTCAATACATCACCAGTGGTTAAAACCAAACAAATAGCAGCAGAGAGATGATTTTTACATATTTCAGAAAAACAGGGCCAAGAATTCTTCCATCAGTTTAACCACTGTGCATTAAGGGGGCGTGGGTGTTTATTTTTCTATTTTCAAATGAAGGTATTCTTTGTGGTCGATTTAATAACAAGTATGAAGCAAAGCAAAATGTTGACTTTGGATGATGCGGGGTAATTTTTTTTTTCCCCTTTGCCAGTACCGTTGTATTTTGGGCTTCAGAAGTGCCATGTGAGCAAAATAGCAAGAAGTGTGACACTGTTTGCAGGAGAGGTGCAATGACTGTGTATTTCTTTTCATCTAACACATTGGAAAAGGCCAGTGATGCCTGATTTTCTGTGTTTAAAATGCTGTGCTATTTTGTTCCTCGATGCCAGATAGCTCTTTAAAAGCACATGAGTGAACAAGGAAACTTTAGCATGGATCAGTCTGATGGGGGGGGAGAGATTTGGTCTGTGGGTTTTTGTGGGTTTGGGTTTTCTTTTTTGTCCAGAAGACTTTATCTACTACCACAAAGAGGCAAAGCAAATTGCATCATGGATTCTTTCCATTTTTATCTGGTGCATATTACATATCAATGTTTCAGAATAACAGGATGACAGCATCTCATTTTAAGATTTCTTTTTTTTCTTTTTAGAGCCACAAAATCCTTATCCTAAAATAAATAATTTATAGTTTGAGGTTACTTCAATGGAAGTTTGAGAAGGTAGATTACTATAGATTTTTGTTTTGTTTTGTTGGAATAAAAAAAGAATTTTTGGTATTTTCTTACAAATGTCTGCTAATTGTGTACATTCCAAGTACTCGAAGCGTTGAGTTTTCTTGTACTGAAAAAAGAAAATGTACAAAACTGTGCATGGTTTCAAATGTTACTAGATATTATAAATATATATATAATTTATTGAGTTTTTACAAGATGTATCTGTTGTAGACTTGTTGACTTTAACATTTCTTATTCAATGCTTATATAGTTTTATAGCCTGGACTATTATCTTTAAAAGCTTAAAAAAATTAAAAATTCCAATTTTGTTACATTTTATACTGTTGATGTTACAATCCACAGGTTTGCATAGTGTGATTTTTTTCAATGAGCAACTCTGTTCAGTTTATTTTAATACTGTATTTCTGTGCCTGACAGCTGCAGCTGTCACAGGTATGAGATGAACTAAATAAAACTATTCTGCTTTTGTTAACATGGCAAACTTACTTTAAAAAAAATAATAATAAATGAGTTGTTAAATTTTGAGGTTTATTCCCACTTGTGAGGGTCCTTTGCAAAACTAAGGGTCTGGGATTTGTAGCACCAGGAGGGTTTGTTTTTTATGATGCTGCTTCGCGAGTCCTGACCAGCAGAGGTTTTATATTCATAATAAATTTATAACAATTTTGGTTTAAGGGCAGTAGTATTTACTTGTTTGTGGGTGCATTTGTTGCCACACAAGCCGTTGTGTGTATAGAGGTAGTCAACCCACGCCCTCGTACAGGATTAAGCACCCAGCAGTAGCACAAGGGCAGGAATTGCTCGTTAAACCCCTGTTAATGGATTTCTCCTGGCGTGGTCGTGGTGATGCTCACGTTGTGGCATTCAGCCCTGCAGATGGTGGTGGAGCTGCAAAGCCTGCAAGAGGAGCCCACCGCTAGGCAAAGGGGGAAGGTGGGTGCATCAGAATGGGCACCCAGAGCCTGGTGGGGTGGGCAAGAGGGACTTCATCCTGCCCGGCTCCCAAGGGGCAAGGGGAGCCCAAGTTTGGCTTCGGCTCTGGGGTGGCTGAGCAAGGGAGCTCAGTAAGTCCTAGCAGGCAGTGCAGGGGGATGTTGCAACTTGGGAAACACTGGGCCAATCCTACCAGCACTTCTGTGCGATATTAATGGATTCCTACAAGTGATCCCGTTTAATTGCATCCCAGACACTCTGATTTTTGCATGTGAGGTTATATACCTACGTATAGCCTGCCTACAGTAGCAGGCTTTTGTAGTTTTATGTAGCTGGGCACGGGAGTGCATACATCTGCGAGGTTACATCTGTGGTACTGGGACTGGCACCACCACTGTTGCATCCTAATAGAACTAAAAAGACAGCAACAGAAATTGGGTGGGTTATGCGTCATTTTCTTCCTATTGTAAGAAAAAAACTCATTGTTTTAGCACTACTAAGATGCTCTGCATTGTGGGAGGAGAAGTCTTGCTACCCGGAATGAGTTGTATCCACACTTTAAGGACATGTTTTGATGGCCAGCCCCAAGCCCTGCTCCGGTAGGAGCAGCGTGGGCCAGAGGGCAATCCCTGGCCATCCAGTGCTGCAGTCAGAGTGCAGCTGAATGGCCTTTTGCTGGCTCATATGGAAAATGGATCCATCATGGCAGGGTGGTGAGGATGTTGTGCACCATTTGCAGCCAGGACTTGAAAAGCAGGCGAGGGTCAGATCACCCTGCAGCAAGCTGCGGTGCGTAGCACACCCATGATTTATAGCTGTCCACCGAGCACACAGAGAGCACAGAAGTCAAAGCCTCAAAGAGGCAAGTCTCTATCTGACCTGCGCATGGAGCTGGTGTGATGTTTGCTTCCCCTCTTAGGTTTCATGATGTCATTCTTTCTCTGCTGGCCTTCACCCGCACCAGTGTTTGCTTGTGGGTTAGGGAGGAGGGGGTAATATTTTAGTTTAATTGCCATACAATGCAGCCAGTTCTTAGCCGAGGATGGATATTTGGCTGCAGCGTGTGGTGGGCATTGAGCAATGTGCAAAACAATCTCAAGGAACATCTGCGAAGCTGCTCAGTTGTGCTGTCACTGAGCGAACATCCCACTGCAGTTCATCCTCCCCTCTGGTGGCTGCAGCCTTCCACCCAAACCTTACGCCCTTTCCACATGAAAGAGGTATTTTTCCAAGCAGAACAAATGTCTTTTTTTTCCTCTGCGGGTGACTACACAAACAGAGCCTCGCACTGGCCGCTGTGACCTGTTTCATAGCAACATTCAAACAAATTACTAAAATTGTGATTTATTCCCATTGGTCATGGCTCCATGGTGAGACAGGGAGGATTTGGCAAAAGGAAGAAAAATCTGAAGCCCTGCAGGTGTCAGTAAGAGATGGCAACTAGAACTAAAATAGCAAAGTTTCCTGGTGGCTGGTGCTATTCAAAACTCTTGAAGGAGATGTCTCCTGCTGGTGGACTCCTCTGAGCAAGTACATCCTTCCTAGAGGCTACACAACCTGCAGAAAGGGAATATGAAGACATGGGTTGTGTTGACATGAAAAAGGAATATAAAAGGTGAACAATGGATCTGCTCAACATCACAGAGCTACTAACAACGGGAGGACATGAGGGAATGGCCAGAAGAGATGCCAGAAGGTGAATTGCTCTCTAGGACTTCAAGTCCCAGGACCGTGAGCTCACCAAAAGACAGGGAAAGGATTTGTCACTCTTGCTTTTAACCTCTTCCTCCACTTTCTCAGCTCTGATTTAGTTTCTCTGTTTCATAACCATCAGGTTGTTTTTCACAAGCAGCATCTCGAGTGCAGGCAACATGTCAAGCAGAAGAAACATCGTGCCCTGCCCCAACAAGATGATTATCTAAAACCAGGAAAGACATCAGTGTCTTAGCACGTGGTGACACAATTGGCTCTGAGCCCTAGGGTGATATTTGTGCCCACACGCACCATTCTGTGATCAGCTTTCCTGGCTGGTGCCCATCAAAGACCAGCCCATAACCATTGCACCTGTCCCAGGCCCTTTTCAGGGGGGTCTGGCACCTTTCAGGAGCAGGGGATGTGGAAGAAAAGTATCCAAGCAGAAGAAAGATACCTTACCAAATGTG